CGTTAGTACTTTGGTTCAGTGCTCCATCTTTGCTTCCAAACATTTGCCCACTTGGAGGGGAGGGTAATTACAAAAAATCAAAAAATCAACAAATATACATACATACATACTGTATAGTATAACTGAGATAATATGAGATAAGATAAAAGAAATCCTCCATCACGCTCACACAAGCCCACACTGAATGTGTGCAGCCTGAAGGAGCAGTCTCTTCTAGTAGACTAGAATGAGTTTAAGTTGATCCCGCAACGGTTGCGAAACACGGTAACGATCCCGACGGTCCCGACCCGTTGGCTGTAGCGGGGCAGTGACACTTGGGGAAACACCGCAAGCCGCCCGGACGAACCCTAATTCTTAAGACAATTAGGATCGGCAATCAACCCTGTCCACCCAGGAGACGTACAGATTTATTGTATGCAAAATTGTCTACAGCTCTTGCCACCTTTGTGGGCCGTACTCGTGTCATTCTTCCCAAATTGACCAATTTATAAATACCTATAGATAAATAACTCATTCATTTGTTATATAACACAGTCGTGAATCCATTAGTGCAAGATTCTAACGCAACTCTGTCACAGTGGCCATATATGAATGGACCTGGGAGGGGTAGCTCCAATTTCTAGAGTGCGATACTAGACTTAAATCTTACCTATCTACTTTATAACTCTACTGGGGGCTGAGGGCCAATACCGTGACCTTAGATATATGCCGCACGTAGGAGGCTCGGGACAAGCCTTCCCTACAAGAGGCGATAGGTATCACTGCGGCACCGGGTTCACGGTAAATGTATATATAAGACATAACCTTGGCAGATCAGATCCAGGGTCTCAGTACCGTCGCCTTTTGACACAGTTAGGAGTAGATTTACTGAGATATATATTCTTACAGCACCTCTATACTGTTGAATTAGCAATTATGTAATAGAATCTGAACAACGTAGCCGGTAAGCGGTCCGGTCATGTAAGTACTCCGGTTACCCCATGCGTTTTTTCGCGTCTTCTAGAATTAAAGCTATTCAAAACAGGAAGCAAGTGTTCTGGGGCTGCTTCAATAAGATGCCGAATCTTCTTGATCACCCATACAAGACATGAGACTTCGAGTTCGGTTGGCCAGTAATTGTATTCTGCTGGAGTCAAACCGTGACTGAGGAACAACACCGGTTCAACCGCTGTTTTTGCGGGTGGTATCTGTATGTCAACGTGCTTGTAAGAGACCTTCAAATGGTAGACCATGGCTCCGTGGCCGAATTCCTTCGAGCTATCGAGGTCGATATACAGTTGACAACCGGGGTCATGATGTCTGAGAAATTTCGGGTTGGCGAACTCCTTTTGAAGGGTCTCGAAAGCTCGTTGCTCCGAGGGCGTAGGGTCAACTAGAGTACGAGCAGATCTAGTGGCCCTTGGTCGTCCTTTAGTAGGACCCCCTTTGAGTAGTAGCGTCTTAAGATCGGTAAGCGGTTTGGCTTTGCTGGCATATCGCGCTATGTAGCTTCGAAAGCACCCGGCAAGTCCTAAGTAGGTTTCCCATTACTTGAGTGTAGTATGGAATTGTAGTTGCCTAATCGCAGCCAACTTCTCATCGGTAGTAGTCACTCAAATGTAACCACGGCTGGTGGGAACAAAGAACTTTTCCTCCACTACACTAGAACCCAGTCCGGGTTTCGGGTTCAAAGCCAAACCCCGCCCTCAGGAAACCAAAATCAATGGAGCATAGGCTACATTACATCAGGAAAAATGTACCTAGCTACTGAAGTAATAAATCTTGAAGATAATTCTTAGATTAAGGTATAGTATTGAAAAGTGATTAGGAAGCATAGGTATTGTTTAGAAGATATTTCGATTGCTCAGAGCCTCTTCCAGAGGCGCACTGCCATCCCATAACGATTCGAGACTTCTCTCATATAGAGGCTCGCGGGGGATCTCCAAAACGCTCTGTTTGAGCTGCTCCAAGCCTCTACCTGCCATTGTCTCGGCATCATTAAACCTTTTCTTTTTAGCGGCTTCAGCCGCCTCTCTGAGATACCAGTGCGCAGTATGAGCATTCGTGAGCGCGTTCTCCCATTGACTAGTCGACTCTCGTTTTTTAGTGTTCGATCGTTTTAGTGATTGATCTCCAAATGATTGAAGGCTATTGATATAGCCCATGACAAACCAATCGAATAGGTATTCGCAAGTTCTTTTAGTAGAGAGAAGGAGATCAGCATGGTCGCCTAGCTCATCGGCTATAATACCTGTAATGCGGCGTGATGAGTATATTTCTTTGGCTGAAGAGTCAAAGACAAAAAACTCAAAGTTGTTCCCATCGCATAATATAGCAAGGATAGGCACCCAGTGCCCTTGCTTCATATTGGTGTAGTCACTCGCTGCACACTCAGCTAGAACTTGGCCCTTTATATCAAGCCCTTGCTTTCCCATTGTCCAGGACTTTTTCACCTCAATAAAAACAATGCTCACCGAATCGAGTGCAGCAAAATGGTGCTCAATATGGCCTTTTCGAGGAAACTCAGCGTCCAGTAGGGTCTCCGGCTTATTGACAATAATACTGTTGAATACGCAAACAATGCGGGTGAAAAGAGAGGAGATGAAGCGGGATCTGGTTTCTTCGTTGTCGTGGGAATCAAGGGGACCGTACTGTGTGAAAGCATCTTCAACATCACGTACAATATCTTGAAACATGGCAGTAGGAATCCGAGATCGAAAGACATCTAGTCGTAACATATCTCGACCTCCCGCATTAGGATTTAACCACACGTATGGCGCAATTTGCTTGTATGTCACATTGGAAAAGGAGACTTCCAACTTCTTGGCTGAGATCTGGGAGAGAGTGGACAGCGGGATATCATAAGCTGCTAGCAACTCAAGAAACGCCTCCTCATCTGTAAGATTTTTGTCTGCTCTGACCTTAGCAACGGCCTCGAAGATATCAGACCCCGGCGGGAGTTTTAAAAGTGAGCCACGATCGCGAGTCTTCACTTCACCTGGGCATGCTGGGCTGGGCGGCAATCTCTCTATAGCTCCAGAGCTGCGAGTTCGAATTCTCCTTGGTGATTGGGTCTCGCTACTTGGGGGGCCTCTCTTTCGCGATGCCATTTTCGACTCCCTAGTGAAGAAAGCTTGTATAGTGTGGTGCTTTTAATGCGATCGTCAACCTGAACATGTCGATCAGAAGATCTTGATGAAAATCTGAGATGAAATTCTCCTGAGACCGCAAGGGGGATGCTGTATATGACTTTTATTCTTTGATGAGAAGATGGCTAAGAACAATAAGGTAGCTTGCAAGTGGCGGCGGTATGGTGTGCGGTGGAATATTATCAATTCAGTATATATTTCTTAACTGGTTTTCTGCCCTCAACCGCTCAGCGGTATATTAGACGGTCAAGAGACAGATATTCTTAAAATAGAAACGAGTCAGTAGTTAGTGTTGTGCTCCGTCTAGTATTCTACTGCAAAGCGGCAGGAAAGGCGGTATGGAGGCCGCTTATCGGCTGCTTAGATAGATGAATAAACAAGACAACTTCTCCGCATATACTCTCGGTGCATACTGCACGACATATAGTAGTCCCAAAAAGACTCCATCATCAGTTTTCATCTATTTTTCATCTACTTTTATCTATTTTTATATTTATCCAGCAATTGGCTAAGACTCCATATAAAGTCGCTGTCAGTTTCTTGCAGGCCGGTCTCCACATAAAGAAAAGGCCAATCATTCTCGTTCTACTTTGCCTGATCCACTTATCTACTGTTTTCATTTCAACACACAATCGTTTTTCATCGATTTCTATTCCTCATTATCAAATAATACCCAAGGCTTTACATTTGTGTTTTCAAGCCCGTAATTTAATCTGTTTAAAAAGTGGGATGTTTATATGCTTTAGATAGTGTTAATTTCAAAACTTCACCCAGAATTCAAAAATATCAAGAATTGATTGATTTATAAGCATTTGAAATTTAACTAATTAGTTTTTGAAGTATGGTTCAAGGTCCAAGGATGGCACGCGGCCCAAAAAGTCGCCAAGATCTGAAGACAATTCTGCACCCTCTGACTCTGTAAAAATTGCGAAGCAATACCATAGTCTTTGGATGGGATGGCTTATCTATTCTTAGTCGGTCCAACCAAAAAAAAAAAAAAAAGAAAACAACCGGCAGAGACAGCCAAGTGGGAACGACCGTTATAACTTATATGGGATCTTCAATTTGGTCCACCTGGGGTGGGTTTAGCTAAATATCTCTCTCTCTACTAGTATGGAATAAGATTATCTGAATAACTGAAGAAAAGTACCAATAGAATAAAAAGTACTCAAGCTTTCTCATTCTCTATGCCCGGCTCACTGATGTATTTCTTACAATAAAAGTTTAAACTAGAATTCTACGATGGTACAGACTAACAGTAATTTCTCACCTGAGGGCCACGATCCTTCGCTAGTAAACCTAGCGTAGTTCATAGTAAGTATGGTTCGTAGAAGGGGAGATTGTTGGGGCAGGTCAGGGGCAACTATACTGGAGTACTTTAATGGTGTACCTTTGGAGAAGCTACTCCGAGCTCGGTGTTTATGACGACTCAGGGGAAGAAAATTAGTAACCAAAAGTCGTCCTTTGACTTCCAGCAAGCGAGATAGTCCGTAAATACTTTGTACGTGCTGTAAGGGCTTACGATCCCTCGATCTATATATCCTTGAGACTCAGCGTTGCTACCTTGTCCGAAAAGCACTGCATTTCTTTCTTGCTTATACGTTCGGCATTAACGCTTTACTGCTAAATGCAGTGCATTCCTTTTTTTGCCCTTAACCAACTATTCGTTATTTGAGCCTGACCTTTTAGTCCTTCATTTCAAACTACCTGTCGTTGTTATTTGCTCGAAATATGAGGCTGTTTAGAGAGATTCTACCCTTAGTTATTCTAGGGTTGGGGTCCTTGATCACTGGTCTTCCCACAGAAAGGAACAGGATCGAAATCATGACAGCTATGGGAAATGTTGACGAAAGATGCTGTCCTTATTCGAAAATGCAATATCAAGTCAAGGCGGCCGTGCACAAGCGTTTACTGGTGGATTCTATGACCTCTCCAATTGATAGTATGTCTCTCCCATACAGACCGTGTATGAGCGTTGCTGAACGATTATTGAAATGAAGTCACGGGGGACCATGCCTTCCAGCCTCCAGATTTTGAGAAAGGTGACCAGCGTGGACCTTGTCCTGGTCTGAATGCCTTGGCGAACCATGGATATATCCCTCGCAGCGGTGTAGTGTCTGTAAGTGAACGGCCTGCGTCTCTAACGACCTGCAGGCGTCCAGATCTGATGATTCCTAGTTCACCAACGTAGTTGCTGCCATTAATGAAGGTGGGCTTATATCCGTTTCCAAGACACCAAATTTACCAGATTGACGACTATAGTATACGGGATGGGAATCGATCTGGCAACGATCCTCGGCGTGATGGGTACAGTCTGGACAGGGAATCCACTGTCCTTAGATCCCAGCTTTTCCATCGGGGGAAGGGATACAGGCGTCAACAATCTTCTAGGGAACCTTGATGGTCTCCTTGGTTCGTTCTTCACCGAGTAGCCCACTGGGATATACCTCTAAACTGTCGCAGGTGATCCACAAGGCCTCATTGGCTCCCACAATTTCATTGAATCCGATTCTTCCAATACGCGGGATGACCTCTATACAACCGGTAACAACCACGCTCTCAACATGAGCAAGTTCATGGAATGGTATGACATGTCCATGGACGGCACATTCAGTATGGACCTGATGGCAAAACGAGCGAAGATTCGTATGGATCAAACTAAGCAGACGAATCCGGAATTCTACTATGGGCCAGTCACTGGGTTGATTGCGCGCAATGCCGGTTATCTATTCCCAGCAAGACTTTTTCGAAATCATTCGCAAGTGAATCCAGAGGGCGTTCTGAGTAAGATCCAAGGTTGACAGTCCACCTCGAAGACTTGAACTAACCGTTGAATAGCTAAGGAAATAGTTCGTAATTTCTTCGCCATCTACGGCGAAGAGGGCAACTTCACCTATCGGGAAGGATGGGAGAGAATCCCTGAAAACTGGTACAAGACTCCAGTAGACTATGGTCTGGTGCAACTTAACCTTGACACCCTCGACTGGCTCCTGAAGTATCCCGAGCTTGGAAGGTAAGCATCTGCTTCAGTCGACATAATTTTCGACAAGCACTAATGAGGTTAGTATTGGAGGAAACACTGGAACCGTCAACAGTTTCACAGGAATCGATTTGTCTGATGCCACAGGTGGTGTCTTGAACCTAAGTACCCTCTTGAAGGAGAACAACCTCCTCTGCTTTGCGTTTGAAGTCCTGAAATTCCTCAGCCCTAACGCTCTCGCGGGCTTGTACAAGACGCTGTCTATTCCATTGGATTTGATCAGTGATGCGATATCCACACCGCTGTTAAATTTCTCATGTCCCGCATTCGAAGACATGCAGATGGGTGGAAAGCCATTCTGGGAAGCTATTCAGAATGACTTTCCTGGGCTGCCAAAAGTGGTGGCGCATTTTGACTGTGCTCACAATGAGGGTGACTTGTACTAGTATTAGCCTTAGTAGTAGGTGCATATATACTGGAAACAGCAATGAGTATAGGCAAAGGGAGCTCATGCACCACTCTGTGGGATTGAATATCATCTTACTGTCGTTAATTTTCAAGGTTCTCTTTTGTTTGTTCCTTTATGGTTAAGTTCATCACGGGATGAGGTTCCTGGCCACCACCACCACCAATGAGGAGCGCCCGAAGCCTCCAGCCACCCACTTTGTTGCATAAGTATGTCTTGCTGAGAGTCAGTGTGTCCCCTGTCCACACATCAATTCCACTTCATTCCAATCTAATCTCCTTCTCTTGTCTCCCCTTACTAGTCTCCCGACTTTTCCACTCTCAAGATCTTGGTTCCTTTGAGTCCAGTCCTAGAATTTGGAAGTCCTGTTCTCGTCGTATTCCTCCAGTGGAACGAGCTCTGGATTTTCTCCGCTCAATCATCCACATAGCCTAAGCAATTCTGGACTCTAGCGGTGGGGACAAAGCCGCTGCAGCAAAGAGCCTAGAATCTGGAATTGTGCGCATCTGCAGTAACCAACTCCGCAACTAGCCACTGCCTCACCGCCGCAATTGAGCTGCTGCATACGAGGACACGCACGCACGTTCCCTAACACCATTTCCACCCATCTTGCTCTCAGGACAGGGGAAGCATTTCGCACGAGCTTAATTCCGCCCAATTTCTTGCATACACAGTAAAGCGAGCCGAAAGGTTTACCGAAAGAAAATGGGCTGGTTTGATACACATTCTTCCGCTGGCTCTTCTCACTCGGGCCGTAAACGCTCTCCATCCCGCCGGTCAACGTATTCCACCCATCACTCCCGGCACTCTGCTCCTTCAATCTTTAGTTTCAACGGAGGAGCCAGCCGCAGCCGCGCCGGCCGATCCAGTCCATCAGTCTACTCGTCCTCGTCGTCGCGACGAGCACGACCTCGGTCTGGCTTCGTCCAAAAAGTAGTCCATATCATCAAGCGACTGCTACGGGACATTTACAAGTATGCCCGTGAGCACCCAATGAAGGTGCTGGTCCTGCTTCTCATACCGCTCCTTACAAGCGGTGTTCTGCAGAAATTGTTCGCCATGATTGGCATTCGTCTGCCCAAGAACATCTTTGGCGGCCAAGGTGGACAATCCCGAGAGGGGGGCAAGAACGGCATCATGGAGAATTTGAGCTCATTTATGAACGTTGCGAAGATGATCATGTAAGAATGAAGCGCGCTATATCTCAATATAGGCTGCGTGGTCTAGGGGAGCGCTTCGCTAGGAATTGAATGGTATGATGGATGTGCGGAAAGGTCAAAACCTACGATCATGATGACAATGATGACATGCTGTATTACTTGGTTTTCGGTACTTGATATTTACGTTCGTTTTTTGTGACTTACTACGTATGATATTGGAGGGTTAGTTGCAAATCTACTGGGAGTCTTCTTTTTTTCCCTTTGGTGTGTGCAGATACATCTAAAGTGGTTGTTTGAATCTAACAATATCTACTCATAGAGTGGTGCAATTGATTGCGAGGGGCTCAATGGTATGTAGTTTCATACCTAGAGTACTGGACTTTCATTTATACATGTTAGGAATGATGACTCCTTGAAGACAAGCATCGAGGATCCAAATTTAAAAGATAATTAGTCATACAGAAAACGGGATGCTTTCTATATCAGTCACGTCAAGACTTCTGAGAGCGTTTTCCTCGTCTTCTCGATACTCGACTTTTAGGTGCCACGGCAGAGTCATTAGCTTGCTCAACAGTCTGTTCCAGTACCTCGGACGGCTCCTCATCGACGATCTCGCCATCTACGGCGCTGGAAGGTCCGAGCAATCTGCCAGCAGTTTTATGATAAAACCAGATGGGTACCCGGAACAGCATCGTGTCGCGCACCGTAGGGCGCTGTATTTCATCAATATCAAGTAGGAATTCCTGCCGCTCACCGTCTTCCGTTTCCTCCTCCAAGAACACCTTGCCAACGGAATCAACGATCAGGACCTTGCCATTCTCCGCGATCACCCTTTTCCTCTCTCCGGATGGCTCCACGGTCTCGCCTGTCGGGGTCGCGGTACCAGAGTTTCGGGAACTTGCCCGGTTTCCTTTTTTGGTTTCCTTGCGATTCTCCTTCTCCATCATGCGTTTCTGGCGACGATTTATAGGCATTGCACTCGCTTCCGCTTCGGGTGTTGGACCTGGGGCCGCCGCGGTAGCATCGGCAGAATCCACGCCTGGGATACCACGAACCCCTAGCTCATCTCCCCAGGCAGCCCTCCTCGCCTGACGAATATACCGATCAACGAACTCGCGCTGGCGTTTCCAACCAAGGATCAATGCAGCATAATGGGCACCACCTCCAAAAGCCAAAAACAGGCCAGTCAAGACGGATCCTAGCCCCGGACGAAAGCGCGAATAGTAATAACCGGTACCCTTCCACTTGGGGAAGCCATTTTTCAAGAAGTAGTCATAACGCTCCCGGCCCGGCCCACGAAGGATATTCGCAACGGTATTCAAGCGGGAAGCACGGTCATGAGCCTTCTTCACAGCAGCGTCAATCTCACGCTTGCTCGGGCCCTGGTTGACGTGGACGCCCGGCTGCTTGTTTTTGGCTCGGGATTTATCCTTGGAAGCATTGGCGATGAAGGATCGCTTGACTTTGTCCGGGTGTAAGAGGCGAGATTTCTTACGATATGCTTTGTTGATGTCGTCCTGGTTCGCATTGGGTTGGACACCGAGGAAATCTGTCGACATTGGAATTGTCAGAACACGGTACATTGAGGGAAAGGGGGAGCACAAGATAGCACACCGTAAAATGTTATGTTTGTACCCTCTGTCGCGGCAACTTCATCGCGGAGGGAGAAGATTTCATAGTCTGGAAATGAATTGCGGTTAGGGGTATACTGGTTATACAGGGGAAGTAGGGGAGCTGACCTTCCTTAGTCCAGGCCGTCGCAAGAACAAACAGGACAGCGAACACGACCAAGCGGAGTGCTGTGGACTTCATCTTTTAGCGAGGAGGGGAGCGGTCAAGCCGCTGAACCCGAAGTCAATTGGAAGGAGAGGAGCGCCGGGGAATGACTCAGGGAGGCCAACACACACACTATGAGTTGTGGAGGATTATTATTTCCTGGCGAACATTTCCTATTCGACTACGTTACCCTCTCGTCCTCAGGCCAATAACCTAAGTATGATCTGTCATCAGGCACAAAAGCGGTCAGGTAACATATACGGTAAAGATACGGAAAAATGAAACATAGATCCATGGCTACCCAATGTGACAAACCCGGATTGGAGGACGGTCCACCTTCCGCAGGGCATCGACGTGGACCAATGACGGTTACATGAGATTGTTGACAAGTAAGGCGAGAGTTGAAGAGGAGAAAGGCATCTCGATAGTCCGAGCGGAAAATTCATTCGCTATTAGGAATTCTGAGGAGGAGGAGGGGGAGTGCTGGGTTTACAATAAATGCAGCGTTGTCCCTGTCCAAGCTTCATTCTTGTTCTTTTTCCCTTCTCTGGCTGTACTGTACCAGTACCGAGTACCAGTACCTAAGTACTAGTATATCACCACCTCCAGCAGTGAGGATTGGAAGATGATGGAGTAAGAGAGACCGCCGAATCAAGGTGACAAGATGGCCATCGCTCTTACTGCAACGTGACAATCAGCCCTCCATCTCTCTGGGTCGCGGTTGGGACTGGTCGTCTTCGTCTTTGTCTCCAAACCCAATCCGGTCTCAGCCAAATCCACTTCTATTCTTAGCGGTGAAAGTCCATGAATCCGGGGAACCACATTGACGTTACTATTCGTCTCTCTCTTTATGAGTCAGATGTGGACAAGGTCTTTCTTCCTGTCTTTCATGGTTGTCCTCTTTTCTCTTACAATCGACTTCCTCTCTGAGGGAGACCGACCATCTGTCCCTTAATCACTAACAGGTGATTGACCTTCCGGTTGTGGCTGCCTTGCAAGGCGGCTGGATCGTCTGTGCTTATGTGGCTCGGTCCATTTAAAGCCCAGACAAAAATACGTGCCGACCGAAAGGGTTAAACGTCTTTTGCCTTCAGTGTTTTTTCGGGCCAACTAAACCATTACCCATTACCTATCTACCTACCTACCTATACTTGCCCCTTTTTTCTCCCTCGGAATACCCTTCTTCGGCCTGCCTTGATCACTTTCCGGCTCTCCTTCGCGCACACAGGTCGTACATCCCTTTCGCACGAACTCAAGAAAAAGTACCGATCCCTTATTCAATCTCCACCCTTTCCGTGATTATCCAAACCCCTTCGCAATCATCACAATGAGCCCAATCCAGATTCCTGTCGATGTGATTACTTCACGTTTCGGTGAGCGCTTTAACAGCCTCCGATCCCAATCTCTGGGCTCTCGTTTTGCCAACCTCCGGCCCATTTCCGAGTTCTTTGACGTCAAACGGGTCTCCAAGCCGGCCAACTTCGGCGAGGTTCAGAGTCGTGTGAACTACAACCTCTCTTACTTTTCTAGCAACTATGCCGCGGTCTTCGTGATGCTCAGCATCTACAGCTTGCTGACCAACTTTATGTTGCTTTTCGTGATTCTCTTGGTGACTGGTGGCTTGTACGGGATTGGAAAGCTTCAGGGCCGCGACCTAGATCTGGGATTTGCTCGATTCAACACTTCCCAGCTTTACACCGGATTGCTGATCGTGGCGGTCCCCCTCGGCTTCTTGGCTTCTCCCATCAGCACCGTTCTGTGGCTAATTGGGGCTACCGGCGTGTGTGTCTTTGGCCACGCCGCTTTTATGGATAAACCGATCGAGAATGCTTTTTCAGAGGAGGCGGTCTAGGTGGTCGGCCGCGAACTCCTTACGGTATGCCCCGATGGGGAAGACCACCAGGGGCACAACGGGGGAGACAAACCGGGAGGTGGGCGGATCCGTGGGTGGATGGTGACGCACGGATCGAGGAGATTAACAGTGAGGACGAGTACCTTCTGCGGGATAACCGGAGTTTGTACAGGAAACAATTGGCTGGTATGGACATGGATGAAATCTTACGATGGCGGAAACGGATGCTGGAATATGACGAGTTTTCTGACGAGACCGGGTTTGTTGATGGTATGGACTATAGCTTGCATGAAGACGGGGATAGCACGGTCGCTTATGCGGTTCAGCTGGCTTTGAAAGATAAAGAGGAATGGCATGTGGAGCATGCCCTGGAACGGATCCGGCGCGCGCAGATGTTGGGACAGAAAAATGTACGATTATCGAAACGAGAACTTGAGGCACTGGAACGCAAGCGAATGCAGACCAGTAGCAAGAGAGATCATGAACGCCGGAAACCCACCACTATGGGTTCTAGGTCAAGGGATAGCTCCACGTCAAGCGGGCAGCGACGCGAATCCAGTATATCGCAGGGCGGACAGACCGCACCATATCGACTCTCCGGCAGCAGTTGGACCCGCAGCTCCGGCGCTCCGTCTCGACAATCTCAACCGCCTACTCCATCTCCTAAGTCCTCACTCCGATATTCTGAGCGGTATTCCACTACATCCCCGCAAGCGTCCCCAAGAGGTACAGCCTCCGCGTATCCTCTCCCGGATGACCCTAGCCGGGCGCCTCCGTATCAGCTTCCTTCTCCAAGAGATCGACAGTCGCAGTCAATGCGAAGTTCAGTGGACCCTCTGCAGGGAGCCTCACGGCGACCATCGTCCTACATGTCAACATACCAAGCCGTCGCTAGTCCCAGCAGTGTGCGGAGCTTATTCACCCCTCGGATGACTCCATTGCTATCTACGGTGGAGAGGACACATCACGATGAGGAAAGCGATGCAGGTGATGGTCGAGTGCGCATCGTGGACGTAGCTGAGCGCAAAGTGTCGACGGGTCGTACAGCAACCGGCAAGGGAAGCCGTCAACGCCGCCGCCGTTCTTAGATTCTGAAGTATCCCAGTGTTGTGCTTGATGTCTAGTGGGAACGGTCTCTTTGGTTTGTCTTGGGTTACTGCTTGGGTGGAATTTGGAACCATTGTGGCTTTGCAGCAACAGACGTAATGGAGTTCAGTATTGATGAGTAATATAGAGTCTTTTTTTGTCTTCTGATAACATGATGGCTTATCTAAAAGTTGTGAGCGAAGTGGACGAAGAGCAATGGCATCACAGGAATAATTATTAGTACGGCAAGGCGGTGGCGTGTCCACATTGTCTTAAATTTCGAGATCCATGGTTGAGCGCATTTACATTCCTGACTCAGGAGTTTCGGGTAACCGTATAACACTGACTATTTTGGAAAGGGTAATGGGTCCTGGGGGATAAAAACCTTTTTATTTGTGGTCTTTTCGCAGTCATGGAGTTAATTTCTCACGATGATCTTCGGATTTAAGAGTTCTCCGGTGATGACGTCGCCGGCCGGTGAAGTCATCAGAAATTTCTTCGTAGGGAGACTAAGTATACTTAAGTCGCGCGCTCTCTCTCGCGCAGTGGCCACATGGAGAGACGCTCTTGTTGCATGATAAGCACTGGTGATTGTTCGTTCATTTCCCTCCCAGCCTCGCAGCCCCTGGATACATAAATTAAATTCAGTAGAGTATCCATTGCGTCTATCCTTTTTGGTTTTCCTCATATCCAGATCAACTCATTCCTCCACGACTCCCTATCCATTTTTCTCAATTTTTTCTTTCTTTTTTCTTCTTCATTCTTTTCCCGACCACGGCTCCACGCCCTTACTGCTACCCGTGTAGCTGTACTCCGTATATCTCTGTACCTACTTAGAAGCGCGTGAGGTGGACAGATTTTACTACCTGTAAAACTTTGGGGCCTTGATCAACGCCGAGAGCTGCACGCTAGGCACCATTGTGTAAGTTCCGTCTAAGCCACTTCCGCAGTTCCCGGCGCTTACAATTTACTGCCACTTCCATGGACTATCTTGTCAACCTGCTAGATTGCTACTTTACTTTCTTTCATTTTTTTTTTTGTTTTGTGTAAGAATATATGGACTGACATATAAGGTTTCCGACAGCCATTGTATCGCGTTCTGTACATTATAAGCGCTCTTCTTGGATTCGACCAAATACAGAGATAGAACGAATTAGAGGGTCAGGAGCGAGGGGGCCATCATAATGTGGATCATTTCATTCTGGATCTTTCCGGTCATATCGGCCTCCATGTGGATAGGTATGGCTCTGTCGTCGGTTGAATGCGTGACGAAATAGTAACGATTACTAGCAATGCTACTTGCAATGCTGGGGAATTGGGCGGTACAGGGCTCGCCGGTATATTCTAGTATGGAAGAGGGACAGACAATTGCGTATGGATGCTGTCTACAATCTAGGTACGACCGGATACTAACCGCGGTTGAATAGGTACATCTCCGATATTGGCGCACAGGGCCTCAAACCTTTGTTCATCACCGGAAGTGTAATAACGGTAGTCTTCCTGGATCTCTCATTCATCGCCGAACGGTGGCTGCGACACGCCGGCCAGTTGGTGCCGAACAAAGGCAGGTTTGACAAGGCTTGTGCCATTCTTTCTATATTCTTCTCGATTGCGGGCGCCTTGGGGCTCATTCTCTTGTCGATTTTCGATACGCTGCGCCACCCGCACATGCACGACGGGTTCCTGGTCATGTTCCTGTAAGTCTAACACACCGACAAGACAATCAGACAAATCGAATGCTGACCGTTATAGGGTTGGTTACATCATAAGCGCGATTCTGATTTGTGCCGAGTACCTCCGCCTGGGCGTTTTCTACCGCTCTCAGCATCGGGTCCTATTCGCCAGCTTTGTAATAAAACTCATGTTCATTGTCATTGAGATCGCCCTCGCCATTGCCTTTGCCGTCTGCGGCAAGAAAGGCGCTAGCAAGAGAAACGCGGCGGCTGTTTTGGAATGGGGTATGTGATACTTGAACCTTGGTGATATGAACACGGAGCTTAGCCAGCTAACCACGGCTCACAGTGATCGCCCTCATCTTTACATTCTATGTTCTTTCATTTGTTGTTGACCTGTTACCATCTGTGCGCACTCGCCGCCACGTTCCACAGGGCGAGAAGCGGATCGTGAGGTCTGAGATGGAGAATGGCATGGGTCAGCCTAACGCCACGATTGAGGAGCCATTAACGACTGACTCGGCCGGGCCTAATATGGATTATAGCTACTACCGTGGGCAGCGCATGTGATCGGCTTGTTTTGATATTCTTGCTTTTTAGAGTTGGTTTGGATTTACGGTGCATTAGGGTTATGTATGTGCTATATACCTCGGTGGGGCTGATTTGAGTTGATGTATACGATCCTTGTTTGGTTTTCTGTCTTCTTTTGGTCGGTATCTTTGTATTTCAACCGGTCTTGTATATACCTCTAATGTTTGGGAGCCTACTGGTTATATGAATAAAACACTCCACATGGTCAAAGAACCATATCGTCTATCATTAGCATTATCTATCTTTCAACGTCAAGGTTTATCACGTGAAGCAACAACAGTATCAACCAACGCCGAACACCAGCACGCTAGGAAATATACAGGGGAGGTCAAGCAATCAGGGCCTCTCGAATGACATCCAACTTCTTCTTCTCAACCCCGACGAACCTCAGATACCCATCAACACCGCCGTATCTCTCGTCTAGATGCCTCCTAATCTCCACTGTAAACCAATCCGGACACTTGATATAGTCCTCAGGCAAGCCCAACTTCCGAATCTCCTTCATCCGCTCCTCCGCCTCAACCACCAACTCCGGCTCCGACTGCACATAATCCGCCGTCATAGCCTCGTCACTCACAACACCTGTCAAAAGCAGCAACATCAGAACCACGAGCCCCGTACGGTCCTTTCCCTGGGTACAGTGCACCAGAACCGGATACGTCCGGTCCGCGCCGTCATTCTGCGACGCGAAGAGCTCAAAGATCTCTCTCATCTCGGCCGTGCTGCTATCGAGCATATCCAGACCCAATCCGATCAGACCCCTAGGCGACATGACCTGTTGCCCGATAATCATCACTGCATCTATACGGTACCCGGACGCCGCGAGAGCAAGGACCTTGCTGTTGACTTCATTAGTTTCCCCGTTGCTTATTCCGGTCGTTTTATCCATCATCCACCCCATACACCTAGAGAGGGGGGGGGAAACCAAGAAAGGAAGATATTCATACAAGAAATTCCACCAGTCCAAGCGCCATAGCAATGATCGCTCGAAGGCTTTCCCAGCCAGACTAATCAGTTGCCGGCGGACATGGGGCAATTGGAATAGATGGTCTGTGTTGATATTGGGGGGAGCAGACGTTCCCGATTCGGCATGGAGTTTGGCGGTTGCCATTTGGTGTTCGGATCTGGGGATCATTAGCGTTGATTTTTCATGACCTGTACTGTTGAAAATAATAATACGATGTAGGATAACTTGGTAGGTAACTATGATACATTGGGTTCGGGGAGGAGAAGAAGAAGAAGAAGAAGAAGAAGAAGAAGAAAGAAAGAAACAAGGCAAAGAAAAAGGAACATACGTAGACCTCAAATCAATAATAGTAGCTATATGAAGTTCATCCGTTAAACGCCGTTTATCTCTTTCCGAGGCATCATCTAGCTAGAATTGTTTACACGCATCAATAACAAGGTCTTGGTTTTATATACGAGAAAACTGAAAAGTCGTTGGATTGATTTACCCTTGCGCTGCGAAATAGAACACCTTCGTTCAAGACCCTGTAGTACAATTCGCATGGTAATTAGTTCAATCCCATCAATGGTGGAAGTCGTCGTCCATCCTTCCTGCAGAGGCTCGGTCAAACTGTGATGGCATACTTTTTCCCCATGAGTCGGTTGATGGAACGACCAACATCCCGGAAGTTGATGATGTTATCGAATGGGCGATCGGGGGAGTCCAGATCGATGCTGGAGGAGCGCGGATGAGAGGCCATCATGGATGGGTCTAGTGCGGGAAGAATTTGATATCCAGGTGGATTCTTCATATACGACTGAAAACGGAATGAAACGAGGTGGCGCAAAGACTGAGATCAGACACGATAGTAATACATAGTATGTAGTGATTCTTTGAAAATAAAAGATTGTCTATGTCAGATTGAGATACAGCGCGTAGACCTTCAGTTAAATGCAAGGCAACGTGGATCCCATTCATTTGGTCTCCAGCGTGGAGCCGCGCACCAAATGGCGGTGGAGGGAAAAGAGGAAAAAAAAAAGAAAAGGAAATAAGAAAGAAAGGAACCCCCGTGGACATTTACCCTCAAACGGGCTTTCTTTGATTTCCGTTGGATCGTTTTCTCTTGTTTGTTTGTTTCTTTGATTGTTGGTCATAGAAATAAGAACAAGCTATGTAACTTTCATTGAATGTACTCGATTTACTGGCAACAATCACGCATACTCCGCTCGGTCCTTCCATCCCGGCTGGAGATAACTCCAGTCCCGGCTGAAATCGAATCCACTGCGATATTTTGCATATGCCTTTAGCTCCACCTGCTCCAGTCTCGCCCCCGCGGCTGTCAATGCCCACATGCTAATCGCTAGTGAATTCTGTCCCTGGTTGTTGATCACCCCCGGCGGGAATGGGAACAAGTCCTGCGGTCCAATATGCGGGAGATAATGGCCAAACTGGTATCCATTCATGAATATCTGCACAACCGCCGTAGTGCCAGCCGGTGCGCTTAACTGAAGTCCAATGGGGACGTCTAAGTCCGCATTCAAATCCAGTTTGAAGCTTGTCGTGTAAAATCTCCCCTCCGCGCCGAGCACTCCTTCCAGGGGACTGCTGTCCAAGGCCAACTCGGGGGCTTGGTATCCTGGCAGATGCCAGCCCATCCGCTCTCCATAAAGACCGCCTTCGTTCATCGGGCCACGCACAGGGTCAATGTTCTTTTCTCCCCCTGCATTGCCTTGAATGCGCCACAACGTAAAGTTACCTCCTCCGATCAAGGTGGCGCCCATGATCCCCCGTGGATTCTGGGTGCCTATGGGCTTCTGACTGTTCTGATCGTGGCCGGTGTAGTCCATAATAATAGTAAGCACATTGTCGCGAGGTCTGAGAGAGGAAATGTTGAACTGAAGCACCTCCCAGCTTGTGACTTTGTCGGGGTCTCCTGAAAATCCTCCCACGTAAGCACCATTCAACCACGCCGCCCATCCAGCTGCTGCGCCATTCTGCACCGTAACATTGGCCCCAGTAACATTTTGTCCGTCGAATCGTCCACGGTAGATCTTAGTCCCTGCGTGATATCCGTAGTCACCGGAGTAAAGTACTGGAAGAGAGAGAGGAGCGATCGAATTGACCGACGTAGTCTTATTGCAGATCGTCCACCTGGAATCGTCATAATCTGGACTAATCTCAGGAAGTGTATCCTGCGCCTTCCACGAACTAAGCGAAGGAAGGGAGACCTCTATATCTTCCGCTCCAGGGACAGTACCGATAAGACTGCCGTATGTAGTTACTCTGGTATCAATGAGATTACCGTTCCAACTCACCTTCTTAACATGCTCATCGCCCGTGTATACTCTAGATAAAAATTAGTGAGGATACGCACAAAGGACCTGACATCGGAACATACTCTATTGAACTTGAGTTGGAGTTGTCGCCAATGACCTCCACAGTGTCATGCTTTATAGAAGCCCCCCGGACCAGGTACGGACCAAAAACTAGGATATGCTCACTGGGAGCAACCGTTGGGCTTGAGATGGTAGGGGGTGCAAAAAAGTTCCATGCGGTTTTCTTGTCGAGCAAGTAGACCAGCACTCCATTTGAAAACTTCACCGCTGTAATTCCTTCTCCTTGGACGTATGAATATTGTGTGCCTTGGCTAGTCTCTGACGAACTCAAGTTTGAATTACCGTATGTTTGGTATATGAGATCAGCCGGTGCGTCCTTGAACACAAAAACCCCCTTTTGGCCCGCATTCAAGTAGAATACAAGTACGTCCACGTCGAGCGTTGCGTATGTCAAGATCTCAGCAGACGAATACAGTAGAGAGGATTCACTGCCAATCCTGTAGTCTGTGACAATTATCTTGCTTTGACGGCCGTCAAGTTCGATCTCTGGGATGGCAATGGTTCCTACTCAGGTCAGAGCAAGTTCCAAAGAGGCCTTCGCATAAGGTACATACCTGCAGATGTTTTTACATTCAATGAGAAAGTTGCGACCTCTCGTGATGAGCTGGTTTCATGAGTCACAACATAAAATCCAGCGTCTGTCTCAGGGTTTCGAAGAGCCCAGGTGTAAATGCTATCATCGCTAGTGTAACCGGTACCGTTCCCTTCCATGTACGTTTTCAGCAGGTCCTTCGACACTCGGGTAAACAGCCCAAGCAGTTTGGTCTGTTTTAATTTATCACGAATCTCTCGGGTCTCTCGAAGAGGGGAGCCGTAGTCGTAAGATGTGTAAACTACAGGCGCTGCACTATGGCCCCAGTTGGTGCCCCCAAACGTCATGTAAATGTTCTGAAGTGTCACGCGCGAGCCGATATTGTTCTTATAGTAGACGTCTGCAAACTCTGGGGAGAGCTCCGACGCACAAGTGTCATAAAACGAACCCCCCCAAGGTTGAAACCAGCCTCCTTCGAACTCGGGCAGATATTCGGGCTGTGTGTAAGAGTAATTCTGGAACCACTGGTAGTATGTACGGACCAAGTTGAATCCAGAGTTTGGATTGGTGCATGAAAGGCCTCCAGGGTACGAGTCAAGCCCATATACGTTCACAGCTCCTCCGACGTCCTTATAGTCAGTGGACCAGCTCACTGTGCGCATTCCTTTCTCATTGTGGCTGCTTGGGACGACAACCCCGGCCTCCTCGAATGCTTTCGCTATCTGCTCCATGTAGATGACTTTAGTATCATTGGAATCATATGTTGTTTCCTGGAGTTCGTTCTCATGTTGGTTCAGAATAACAGGGCCGCCCTTGGTGATTTGATTTGCTGCAATGATCTTGCCAACCTCCCGAATCCACGGTCTCCATCTTTTGTAGTAGGCTTCATCACTCGTTCGTTCACTGCCCATCTGTCCATTTGCTGCCCATAGAGCAAATCCACCCGCAGAAGTCTCTGCATTACAGTATGGGCCTGCTCTGGCGATCACATACAGGCCCGCTTGTTTAGCATAATCAAATAAGCGCTGGATATCATGGGCACCCGTCGTGAAGTCGAACTCGTCCTCCGAAGCGCTATGATAACTCCAGAAAAAATAAACTGCGCCATGTTATGTTAGCACATCGTATTTCTATAGTTCTGGCAGGCAGTCATACCCGAGATGGTGTTAAATCCATTCGCACGCAATTTCTGAAAAACATCTAGCCACAGCTCGGGAACGGGGAGTCTCTGGTAGTGAAATTCACCGGAGAAAACAAAGAGTCGCTCGCCTTTGACGGACAGACTGTATTTGTCCCACGTCACCTCGGTGGTCTTCCCATTGTCGAGGCCTGATACCTTCCCGGTCAGGAGAAGAAGCCAAACCAGATAAAAAATCCGAATAACCGCATATCCTTCGCCGGCTACAATAGAGACTGCCCTTAAGTCTTCCTTCATCATTGAGTCATGCAAGCGAGAAGCGTCCATAATATGGGGTGCTCCCCTCCCTCGAAAGTGCCCTTCGGCCCTCGCGATATTGATGTCCCGGCTCGGGACAGGGATTGGTGGAAGATCAATCTGGTTGAGATAACCCCCTTTTCTCCGTAATCGAGGCACTGGAAATGGTGTCAGAGCTGAGAGGGCGGTTACTTGCCTAATCTGGTGATAATCCCTGGGGGAAAGACATGCCTAGTGGATACGGCAGGGTAGCATAGGATACACCCAGCCTGAGGTTGCATCATTAATAAGAGTAAAATTAGTCGTACATATATAACCATGGAGGCATTGTTAAATACTTGTGCTTTTCACATACTAGGTTGTAGACCATGAAAGAAAGAAAGAAAGAAAGAAAGAAAAGAAAAGAAAAGAAAAGAAAAAGAAAAAAAAAGAAAAAAAACTAAGTAAAATCGTGGGGAAAACTGACAGCATTAGCAGTCAGGTATGTCCCTTCGTATGTACTGGAAATCCTGTAGAACGCCTTACCAGACCACCTTCCTATAATATTCCCGACTCCAAAAAGCACATAATCCACACCGCAGAATAAGGATATAACGATCAAACAGAGTTCCAGAACCGCGGCAAAAGATGTACAGAGACAATGAAAGCAATACAATTACATCATCAAAGGTCTTCAGAGAACCGTGATTCACGACCAGTAGTACCGTTGCTTGTTCGCTTTCCGATTGCAGGCGGAACAGGCAATCCTTGATCGGCGGCACTCTCACGTAGTTCATCTCGCTCAGTAACGTGCGAAGGTAATTCATCTGCGGCAGTATGCTCGACAGGTACAGATCCTTCATCGGCTTCCTTATTATGATCTGTAACTTCATCCGTCTTATCTTGCGAGTTCCTCGAGACCATCTGCGAAAGTCTGGACTTCAGGCGAGATCGCTTATCACCATTCTGCTCCGGACTCTCCTTGGACCCTGGCTCAACTGCCTGTCCTTCAGGTTTCATAGCCTCCAGCGTACCAGCATCCACTGACTTTCTCTGCATTTCTTGCAAATCATCTGCTGTAACAGGATTGGACCTAAGAGGCGCACCACGTTCGTTATCACCACCCGCCTCGGCTAAATCAGTTGCATCAGCTGTTTCAGCTGTTTCAGCTGTCTCAACTGACTCATTCGGTCCCTCTGCTGGCTGAGCAGTTTCCTCCACCGCGTTTGAGGGTGTCTCGTGATCGCCCTCCGCTATTTTTGGAGCTTCGCCTGTGCCTGCACTGGGGCGACGACCGCCCAACTTATTGAGCCACGTTTTGAGTTTCGACTCTGTTCTCGTGATGGGCTCTGTAGATCCTGTATCTACCACGGCACCTGATGCAGTAGCTTCGTTTCCGGCTCGTGTGGTCTGTGGCTGCTCTGTTTCCTGTGGAGCACTCTTTGCATGCTCCTCAGCCGCACCCTCGAGTCCTTCGGTAGCCCTGGTTGCGGTATGTTTTCCTACAATGGGCTCATGGTCTTGGCCCCTCCTAGACCTTCGCCACAACCATGTCTTTTCCCCTCTGCCTTTCAACTCTTGTTTCATAGCAGCTATTCAATGTTAGCAATGTGGTGTATCGAGGACAAGAAACTGGAAATACTGACCCTTCTGTCGCTTCTCCTCGGCTACAAGGTCAGCCTCTCGTTGACGAGCTACAGCTTCGTGACGCTGTCTTTCCTCTTCATCCAAGCGTCGCTCTAAATCCTTAGCCCTTTCCGTCTCTGCGCGATCAGTAATTTCATCAAACGTTGGCTGGAGCCTTGAACGAGCAAGAGCCTCCACATCAGACATATCAATGAATTTCTGAGCACCAAGGTTGACTTTCTCGCCTGAGGTATATTGCAAGTCAGTCTCTTGCATATCCTTCCGCGCGCGGGCTAGTGCCGTCTCCTCCCATTCTTTCTGGAGTGCAGCAGGGGCACGCCCAGTCTCAGCATAGACACGCATTTCCATATCTTGCAAAACTGCATCAACATTCTTCCTGGCGGCTTCCATTAGAAGAGCGCGATCTTTGTCTCTCTGCTCATCCACCGCATCAAGCTTTGTTCGGAGACTGGTCATCTGATGCCTGATCTCTCTGGACCGCTCTACATCGAATTCAGATGCATCCGAGTCTATAGACAATCTCCTTCTGCGGGTAGGCACGCTGGACCGTGTATCTTGCTGCTCAAGTCGGTAATATTCCCGGTATACTGCGGTGTCATCCTGCATGCTGGCCAATTTCTCTGCTGCAAGCTTCTGAGCGGTCATCTGAAGATTCACTGCCCGTTGGATGGCCCCTGGTTCTGGTCGACTTGCGGATCGTTTGGGACGCACACGGCCATAGTTTGCTTGAGTACTAGGAATGGATGGATAGAGTTGCTCTGGTTCGGTAGCTTCTGTGAGGCTGTACATGTCCCGCGCCATTGACACGGCAGCTGCTTGCAGCACGCTTTTCCTTCTTTGCTCTTCTACCTCTGGCGCCAAAGGTGGGGTTGCAGTGAATAGTCGACGGTTGACATGTGCAAGGTGTTGAATTCGGCTAGCCTCCAATGCGACGTCCATGTCGCTGATTTGACCCGCCGAAGTTGTATAGGGCGCTTCAGAAGGTGCAGATTCAGCTCTCCTCCTATTGCTATACAGAGCTCCCCTAGCAGCACAGACGGCTTTTTCTCTTTCGGCGATTTCGCGACGCGCATCTGGTTTTAAATGGGCTGCGGAGATCTCCGTGCTCGCGGGTAAACTCGATATTGAACTACGTTCCCTGTGCGCGGAGACTGCAGCTCTATACCCGCCATGGCTCGAAATATCGGAATGATCTTGGGCATGGTTCGCTGCAGCCTGTTTCTCAGCTTCGAGCTGTCTATTCTTCGCTTGTGCCAGAGCAGCTACTGCCGACGCATGGCTAAAGCCCGGACGTGATCCTGGCACTTTCAAGTCTACAAACCGTCAACCTCATATTACCTTACACGCTTGGAGAATGCGGAAGGCTATCGGTTATACTCACTGGATAGATCGGTCTCGAACGCCGATGGCTCGCGAGCCGATAGTCTTCGCTCGGGATGAGTAACGTAAAGGGCCGCCGAGGCGGCTATCCGCAGGCCTGTCAGCACAAAAGGTCCTATTCGGAAGAAGCAGAGTAAAACGCTGCCTAAAGGTCTCTCACCTTGGTCCGCTAACCGGGTTGACCGGGAGCACGGAACGCTCTGAACTGGGGGCTGCTCAATGGTTGCCATGATAAGATAATGTCCGCAGCGCGTTGCAGGAAGCAAGGGATTGCAACGAAGACAGGCATTCCCGAGGAAGATAGAAAACGAGGAGAGCAGGACAGCAGGGAGGAGAAAAGTACGAGCGATTGGGCGGAAATGACGGGATAGACTCCAGGAAGGAGGCTCCGGAAGTTTGACGAGAGTATAATATTGCCAGTGACGTAGTTGGTTGCAGAGATGGATCCACGGATGCTACGATCACCCGTTAGTTTTGGAGTGGCTTGGCGACGTAAGGCTGAGGAGATGTTTCTCACGTTGCTATAGTCATGACGTCGATCGAATATGAATGTGAGGATGAAAGAAGGAAGAACGTTACATCCTACCGACTGGTGATTCTTCCATCCCAAATTTTTATGCGACACATTCTTTCGGCTCTTTTCCGTTTTCGTCCATCTGTGGTTTTTTGCTGGTCAGATCCAAATGCCCCCATCACATGACCCGGTCAGCAAGTTTGCAGTTACGCATTTTTGTTGTCCTTACGAACTGGTGGCTGAGGCTACACATCTCACTGGGCTTTGTCAGGTAGATCCCTTGGGCCTAGACCCTCCACCGATGTAATACCGAAAGTACATTGATCTATGGAGTAAATTATATGTTCTATTAAAAAACACTAGAAAATTAGAAAACAATCATTTCCTGTCTCCCAGACAAAAGACACGAAAAGAATGGTTGGTTATCATTTATGGGGAAACGATTGAACCGACTAGAATTAAACGATGCACTTCTAGACAACTACTAGCAGTACCTCTATACAACAGTACCGGCATTCAGCACAAAATATCACCATAGATGCAAAATCTTAAGGAGATCATGACGTGCAAAAAAAGAGCGGTTTCTCTTGCCAAGGATATCTAGTAAATCGGTGTTAGCTTACAATCCTTACATCTGTATAATCAGTAAAACCTACACATGGGGATGCTCAAGGCACAAATTCCCATTTGTATACTAGATATAGCCAGGAATGCCGGTTTGATACCATTTGAGAGTAACCAATCATAAGCGAAGAATGTTAGTATAAAACTAAAAATGTTTTTGAATATTAGCATGCATGTGAACGATTCTATCGCAATTTGACCTGTAGTTATGTGTCAGCGGGGGCGCTTAGAAATAACCGCAGTAGCAGATGGGAAACACTCACGGTGGGCATCAACGATATACAGCGCACTGGCAACAGCACCCATGACCATCCCTATAATTACCAATGCGAAGAATACATCAACCACAAGCCAACCATATTTTCCCACATCTTGGGCCACTATGCCGAAGCCGTAAAGCCCAGCACCGCTGAAGACTAATTGAAAGATAACGAGGAGAATGCGGAACTCAGGCTCATATCTTCCTTTGTTAAGCTTGATCATGATCTTATTCATGGAGTCAGAGAGTATGCCCGAAAGGATTAAGCCCACAATAGAGCCGATAAAAGCGCCGGTATACAGATATCCCGTTTGGACTTCATTGAACCACAAGGGAGGCCCTAAAAAGATGGCTGCTAGTACCACACCAATGAATACAGTCCAGCCGATGATTACACCTTGGATTAAACAAGCCTATGGTTGTTAGGGCCTAATCTCAGGATATCGTTCCAGCAGGTGCTTACCCAAAGAATTGCCGGGTGAAAGAACAGCGGAAATGGTCTAAGCAGAAGCTTCAAGAAATTCTCGTCCGTCTTGCGCCCATTGAACGGCTTCAGAGTTTGGATATATAAGGCTTTCGCAGGGACGATCGTGTTTAAATGCGTGTCTCGCTCTTGTGATCTAGCCTGCGATTCACTATTAGTGAGCGGCGAAGGATGCTTTTTCTCATCGGATATGTGGCTGGCTTCCTGTTGATATTCAGTGGATTGTTGTTGTGAGCACATCCTATTTTCGATTTTTTGATGTACCATCTGTTTCAAGTCATTGTTTAGATATTCTGGGCGCCTAAAAGCTGTCTCGGGGACCAAGAAGAAAGTCAAAGGCAGCGATGCGGCCGAAAAGATTGCCAGAAGGTAAAATGTCCACTCCCACCCAAGAGAATGAGTAATTTTACCAGCCAGAACCGGTGTAAGAAAGGCGGCTCCAAAAAGAGCAACATTCGATAGAGCCATCCTTTTGCCACGCTCCTACGATGCTTGTTAGAAACAGACATTGAATCATCGAGGTTCTTCCATACTTACGTGAACGTAGTATAGATCGCCGACACAAGCATTGACCAAAGCTTCGAAAGGTGCTAGAGCAACTCCTTGGAAAATGCGAGCCCATACCAAGCTTGTATAATTGTTGGAACTTCCACCTGCCCAGCCACAGCTTATCACCATTAAAACATTCCCGAGAAGAAAAAGATGACGTTTTCCCCATACTCGCGCTGTCGGCACGATCAATATCCCAGCAACTCCCACACCACAAAGGTGATATCCAGTGAGAAGGGCGACGGAAGTGAAACTCTTTTTAAAGTGGAGGGATATTGTCACGGTATTGGCAGCCATAAGAGAACTCGTTGTTGCACAAAGAACTGCGACGAAGGAAAGGACTAGTAGTGTAACATCACGCTTCCATAATGGCCAGTTCTGTTCGGCATCTGTTGTCAGTCACCGTATATTCAAAAGCGATCTGTTATGAGGGGTTCGACATACCAGGGGATCATTGGGATCATCACTTGGTTGAGGAACCAGGAGGATAGGAATCGCACCCGAGCGGTCGTATTTCAGGTTAGAATCAACATTGGTCTGCTCGTTGGAGCTTTCTCTTTCGAGGATATCAGAAGTGCCTAGATTAATCCAAAGCCACTAAGCATCTACAGTATATATTGAAGGCCGATTGACACATACCAGGAACCTGGGCAAGCGCCGTGTCTTCTAACACACCTAACCCCATCCTGACCGTGGGAATAAACAAGCCTAAGAGTGCTTGGGACAATAAAAATCAGGGCAAGTTAATTTATTCCGGGGAATTTGGCAGGAACGAAGCAGGTTGACGAGCCAAATAAGAAATGAACCGAGCTCTACATCAAGTCCAGTTGGTGAGCGCAGCATGTGTTTTGCCGGCTAGTTCATGAAACATTGGAAGAGGGGGGCAAGTCAAAACCTGTCAGCATAGAGAATTCGTTTGAAACCTTACCTACTACGAGTTAAGCATAAATTTCTTTTGAGTCTAAGGTCTTTCCAATACGTTGGAGATTGGGGGGGAAGGGGGCAGGAAGCAACCCAAAATAGATAAATGAAAGATTTCAGAAGATAAAAGGATAAATACAGCGTACATGATCCAGCCTGCAAGGGCCAGCGATTAAATCTGGTCAGAACCCTGTAGCTCAGTGTTACGTTTCGGTCATAGTCAAGACGATCAGTGTGCGGAGAAGTAGTCGATCACCGAGTATAACTTACTGTAGAGGTCTCTGTTAATCCTAGTACTAGGGCCTATCCCTTTCGTTGACTTACTATTGGTTTTTGGGTCGACAATATATAGCTTTCGCAGTTCAGTACCCATGGAAATTATGGTGTTCGATCGAAAGAAAAAGCTATGGGATATGCCCTTGTAGGACTGGGTGGTTGTCCCACGTTGGGACTCCTGAAAGATCTACACCCAATGTTCCACTTCCAGACCGTGTTCTTATGTATAACCTAGGTAAACATCTCAATACAGGTAAGTACTCAGAAACAAACCCATACCGAATGAGGCGTGAGGGGGTGGTACTAGTAGTATGACCGAGGGATTTCTACGGCATCTGATTCAATGACCCCGACCCTGCCAAGATCGTCAAAGCGAACTCCAGTGGAGATTAAGAGAGCCTTCACAAATGAGAGTGAATTCGAGCCGAAGGAGATCTGGGGAGAAAGTCCAAAAAAGAGGGTATTGTGGATCCATTTCATGACACTAGGGACGCACTACTATAGCTTGTCCAACCTCACGGCAAGATACTATTGGTGAGCGCACATACAACAGTACCCGTGACGTAGAACCACTGTTGCACATTTCTCATCCTCGTGGAGCAATTATTACCGGGATGGCTGAATAGGATCAATGGATACCCCCTCATACCACTCGTAAGTTATGTACTCCATTCATAGTAACCCGTTATTATACTTTCACCCCTTGACGTCTCATCTCCAACGATCAGCTGTATTCTATGTAATTAGTATACTAGTACTAGTTGGGCTTTTATGGCTGGACTCTTGGTTGCCAATATGTGAGGCCCCGTCACAAGAGACCAATCAATCCCATCAATGGGACCTGAGCACTAATAGTAGAGAACAAGTATTGTTAGGCAAGGATCTTCAAGTGAAACTATGAAAACCACAAGTTCAAATCACTCTCCACAAGGTAGGTTTAGCCTAAGTTTATACTCTCTGAGGTTACTTTATGCCGCTGCCCACATCGAGTGGGAAATCAGCTTCGTCCTTTGTTCCTGTCTCTTTCCACTCCCCTCCCCTCTTTTACTTATAATATCTACCTCGCCGGGCAGCCCAGAACAACTCATTTGTAAACAGACCATTGCATCTCGCTCTGCACCTCTCCCCCGCCCGAAAGTATAGGTAGCCAACATGAAGCTGTACTATATCTCTGTCATACTCACCACCTGCCTGAGCACTGTTTTTGCTCAAGGAATGGACGGCCTACCAGACTGCGCGGTATATATTCCCACGATTGAGATTTTTGATTACTGCTCCTTAATGAGCTTCTTTTGCTGAGATGGACCCAAGATTGTCTGCTGACAGAACCACAACAGAAAGATTGCGCTACTGGCTCCATTCCCAAGCAGTGCCAAACTATCGATGTTGCTTGTATCTGCGGTGACAAAAGCTTTATCAACAGTATATCTTGTTGTGTCGCCAACAAGTGCTCAAAGGATCAACAAGATGGTAAGTCCTGCCTTGTTGTCTTTCACTGACACTACGAGTATAACGCAGAATCATACGCGTAAGGATATATTGTCTTGCTAACATGGTCTCGTATAGCTGTTCTCAAATTCGCAGGCCAGCTCTGCAGTGGCGCCGGTGTAAATAACCTCCCCACGAGTGCTAGCTGCGCTGAGGGAAGCTCGAGTGCTACTGAGACATCATCCGATTCTTCAGCATCCAGCAAGCCGACTACTTCGGGTTCTTCTGATAGCTCTGCATCACCAACTGCTTCCAAATCCGACAGCAACACTAAGACCTCATCTACCTCAACAACGTCACCTACTGCCAGTACTGGCGGAGCTGGCCTTGTACAAAGCAAAGACACTAGCCTCCTTGCTGCTATTGGGGCGGCGGTCTTCGCATTCCTTGCGTAGAGAAGTGAGACGCGGGCCGCCTCTTTTCGGGTACACAGAATGGGAGATAAATATGACTACGGAGTACCTAATGACGAATCGGGGAAGTCAAGCAGAGAACAAGTTTATGTCTACATCCAAGACACCAGAGAAGCAATTGTCTAATATGTATTTAATATGCTCTACGAAGTCCACATTGTAGTGAGCTTCAGCGTCCGCCCATGAGAACGCATTGATAAAGTCGAAGGAAATGTGCGCAGTTACGATAGCTTTTGTTGTCTTTGTAGTAGCAAATTCCATTTAGTTATTCCCACACTTTCGCACAATCGAAGGAGCCTACGATACTTGTTGGTCTTGTTCTGCGAATCGAACGGCGATCTCATGTCGTTCTTCGCGAAGAGTAAGGAAAATCTAGAACATTTAATCAGATCTGAAGATCAAAGTAAATTCTAGAAGAGGTCATGGAACTTACCCAAAGCCAAAACATCATTTCCATAAAGCCATACGTGAATATCACTCTGTTTTTCAACTGGTCCAAGCCAGAAGCGGGCTCTTGGCCATACCCATCAACTGTATGGCGACCATCCACTCCCCAATCCGATGGCTTACTCTGGTATATAAAGAACGAAACAGCAAAGAAAAGGCAAAAGCGTGAAGCAGAGAGCAGTGTCCAAATTTCCGTGTAAAGTGAGGCGAGACGTGCTAAGAATGGATTCGTTCGCATAGCTCCTGCGATGGACGTGGGGGCTGCGGACCGAGCGATTTCTGCCATTGCAATAATTTCATTGATTCGGGGGACCTTTGTGACGAGGATAAGATCGACGAGGGCATCCGCGACCAGGAGGATGCCGCATAGCGCAAAAGGGGATTGAGGACGGGAAAGGGATGGTGCAGCATCCTGAAGTAAACGACTTGTTAACCTCCGACAAGGAGAATATTTTCAGCGATCGAGCATATGGTTTATTCTTACTATTTGTAAGGTCTCCCCTAGCATGAAAACCACATCGGAGTCCGTAATGACTTCTGGTGACCTGGTGAGGTAGACGGCGAGGATGAACAGAAACAAGGCATGTGCCTTTATCAGCGTTTTAGATGATAATAGACCCATCTTGTTGTTTGTGGGCACAGGTTGAAGGATGCGTGGAATAAAACAGAGTGCTGTAAATGAAAATAGTGATGTTGGTGTCTGAATGTCACCTCCGCATGTTCAGTAATATTCAGAGTGAGGTTGAGTCGAGACCCATAGAGCTGGGAGTTTATTTTGATTAATTGTTTTTCTTTTCGGTTTTCTCTCCCTAAGAATCAAAGCAAACCATGTGGGGTTAAGTAGGCGGCAGCTGTTAACTCCGAGAGTGTCCGCCCGCCAAATGAGAAAACGAGATTAAAAGGTGACTGATGGCATGATAGCTGGACAAAGAATCTCTGACGCATATCACGTACAGCTTTCATACTATCTGCGCAAATTTTATGGCCAGTACCCTGGATCATAATCCATACCTTCATCGCCGTAACCATGACCGAAGCCGTTTTTCATAAGGAACGTCACCTCAAGTATTTCCTACGATGCCTCAAAACGTTTTTACCGGGCTTATATACCTCCAATGACTCGAATCGCGTCCTGCTCGCTTACTTCACCGTTGCAGGCCTGGATCTCCTCGGCGAATTATATAACAAGACAACTCCCGAAGAGCGGCAAGGGTATGTCGAGTGGATCTACCACTGCCAGGTGCCTTCGGGAGGCTTCCGGGGATTCACAGGGACCGACTTTGGGTCAGAACGGCGAACAGCGGCAAACGAAGCTTGGGATCCGGCCAATATTCCCTCGACATTCTTTGCATTGGTGATACTGTTGACTTTGGGTGATGATCTGTCACGGGTAAAGCGAGCTGAGTGTCTACAATGGCTCTCCAGAATGCAGCGCGAAAACGGCAGCTTTGGTGAAGTCCTCGGCACAGAAGGGAAGATTGAAGGCGGCGGCGATTTACGATTTTGCTGTTTCGGTGCCGGTACGCGATATATACTGAGAGGGAAATGTGGGAGTGACCTCGAGGGTATCATGGATATAGACGTAGATAGGTTGGTCGCGTTTATCGAGGCCTGTCAAGTAAGAAATGAAATGCCCCTTCTGCACTTTCTGCTATCCCCGTTGATTATGATTTGGCTAAGGATTTCTCTAGGCATACGACGGCGGCATAGGGGAGGGGCCCTTTTGCGAATCCCACTGTATGTCCTGTTTACCAAACCCCGCTACGCAACGACTATCCCAGATGCATATGCCGTCCTTCTAACTTTTGTGTCGCAGCTGGTCACACTTATTGCGCTATTGGTGCTCTAACATTCCTGGACCGCCTTTCGAAGAACCATAAGCCGATCGCGTTACTTTCGGCCAAAGCTGGGCCTTTCGAGTCTTTGGTCAGATGGCTTGTTGCACGACAAACATCTGAGCTCGGCGACGATGAGGAAGAATCCGACGAAGAAGATGGCCACGGCATAGATGAGGTTAAACCTTTATCAGCGACAGTTGAGGAGCCCAGTTTAGACGCAAAAGTCGATCGGCTCCCTGTTGTACCGCCGGAAACAGAGGATTCACTGCGATGGGCAGGATTTAACGGACGCTGTAACAAATATGCCGACACTTGTTATTCTTTCTGGAATACTGCATCTCTGAATGTGAGAAGCTACACCTCGACAAACTTGAAATGCGTATCAAGCTGATAGTAAAGGAACAGATGATGAATAGGCTAGCGTTGGTGGATGCGACTCGGAATCGGCGATACCTCTTAGAGAAAACGCAACATATCGTTGGTGGATTCGGAAAGGGCGTGGGAGAGCCACCAGGTAAGTCTAGCGTTTGCTTGTGGGCCTTTCTCTTTTACTCTTTTTGCAGTATAGCTAATTAACACGCACAGATCTGCTACACTCTTACTTCGGGTTGGTATCGCTCGCATTTCAAGGGGAACCGGGCCTTGAAAGTGTCGATCCAGCACTTTGTGCAAGTCATCGCGCAGTTCGACATTTACATTCCCTACCCTGGTGGCAGGAGACAAAAACGTGATGATGGCTAGCAATCAAATCGCAGCGTAAACAAACAACTTCTATGTCATATACCCCAACCGTCCCACTATTATAATTATGATATTCAGTAGATTTGCCGGATGCATGGCTATAAAATAATGTTATGCAATCGTCATACGATCAATCTCAGGTACATCTGGTTCATTGCAAGGGAGAAAAGTAGACTGGGTGGACTCCGTTAGTTTGTATGAAACGCTCCTCGCTAAGCTCAACATGGGCATGGGAAAGGCGCTAGAGAGGACTAGTGCGGTATGTCATAATTAATTTCCTTTCTAAATTTATGTGATTCAGGGGTTAACATCGGATGAGATAAGCCCGCCCACTTTGAGAGAGAATGGATGTGACTCTTTCAGTTAAAAGAAAATCGGCGAAGGAAAGAGGTGCAGTTCTCCAGGCTGCATTGGGATCTCCTCGTCCTGATTCTTGTTTGTTTGTTTGTTTGGATTGGAGGGAAGACTGAAAGGACATGTGACATGATCCCTCGCATGAGAAACAAAAGTTCGGTCGGAAAAGAAGCATACATAATAAGAGTAATCAAAATCAAAGTAAAAAAAGACAAGAAAAGCAAAGTACAGGCATTGATCCCTACGCTATGACGAATTAAAAGCAGTTTTATACTTTCCAATGACAAGAAACGGCCCACGTTTTCACTCAGCTAATGGAGAAAATCATAATACAGTCTAAGGAACGAAGGAATAGTTTCCCATCGGCTTTGAACGAGCTAATTAACGGCTCAACCGCTTATGCAATGTCCTGTTGGCTGTCGTCAGAGCCTTTTCCTTACTTCATCCCATACTAATTGTCCTCTCCTGTCACGCACAACACCACTGGTATACACACAAACACATATTTGCTTGTTTGATTGACAATTAAGCCCACTGGAAGTTTGCTTGGCTGCATTTCTCCATTACTTGCTCTCTTTTCTTTTTCTCAGACCCCCTCTCTTACTTCCATCCGTTCGTTTCTTGTCCTTCGTAGTCCGTTATTTCTGTGGTATGCTTGCTTTTTTCCCCCCTTGCTTTTTTCCCCTCTGCTTTCTTCGCTAGCACCCCAAAGCAGTTCTAGGCATTATTTGTTCTGCTTGATACATTTTTATAATAAACTGACATTGTATCATTTTGTCCTAGCTGATCGCCTCCCCGGCTGCGGCTCGACCCCTTCTCCTTCCGTTTTGATATTGCGGTCCACTCCTCCGCGGCTTCCACCAGCTACGCCATCCTGCACTCTCTCTTTTGACCAAGACTCGGAGATAAGCTCCATTAACTTTCGATATTTTGCTCCGTGAAATATTCCAACCCTCGCTGTATATTACTCGGTCTGCCCTCAAGCTGTATCGAGTGGCTTGCTCCTTGATTCACGGCCTCCGCATCACGCTACAGCCTACGTCCCGATCCCTCTCTACTCAAATAAGCGGTCTTAATGTGCTCGATCCTTTGAATGGCAGTCGCACACGAATTACGATTGTCTGAAGATACTACACAGAAGCTCAAGAAGCGCATTTCTCGTCTCCGCGGTGTATTTTAGAACAGGCGGGGATTTATCTTAACACATGCCGCCTCCCAGGACGAGAGCGGAGGTTCATGCCCAAAAACAAAAGGAGAAGGTTCGTTGGTTTCAGCTTATCGAGTCAATAGCATCATTCTAGCTATGCGCCCATATGGATCATACTGCTAGGTTTTCTCTGCAGATCCAGTGTATCCTTCATCGTCCTTGTGACCAAATATTGTTTACTACCGGTCCCATCAATCTCACATTTTTGATTGAAGCCTAGCTAACTAGAAACTACACTACAGCTCGCCCAGTCCTACCATGAATTACTCGAGTAAGCACCTCCTTTCTCTCTCTACTCCGGCCAGACCTATCGTTACTCACGACGTCATCTTCGTCAGGGAATTCTCTTCAAAGGATCTTCGGAGTGTAGGGAACTATACACTCGGAAGGCTAATTGGGAAAGGTTCCTTCGGCAAGGTTTACCTGGCGTCCCATAAGCTCACTAATGGCTCCAAGGTATAACTGCACAATACAACTTGCACGTGAATGAGAGTATTGACTAATGTAATTGCGAATAGGTTGTGCTCAAGTCCTCAAGTAGAGAGGATACGAATCTGCCGCGCGAGATTCATCATCATCGTCAGTTTCTGCATCCTCACATTGCCCGCCTCTACGAAGTTATCGTGACGGAGAAGCTGGTTTGGCTGGTGTTGGAATATTGTCCAGGTATGGGGTGTATATCAGTGTATTACCACCCCACTGCTGACAGATGCGGCTAGGTGATGAACTCTACAACTACCTTCTTCGTCATGGCCCACTACCCGTTGACAAGGTCAAAAGGATTTTCACGCAACTTGTCGGTGCGGTGGCCTACGTTCACAGCAAATCTTGCGTCCACCGGGACCTGAAATTGGAGAATATTTTACTAGACAAACATGAGAATGTCAAACTATGCGATTTTGGGTTTACTCGGGAGTATGAGGGCAAAGCAAGCTACCTACAAACATTCTGTGGTACGATATGTTATAGTGCCCCGGAGATGTTGAAGGGTGAGAAGTATGCAGGCGAAAAGGTCGACGTGTGGAGCTTGGGCATCATTTTATATGCTCTCCTCGCTGGGGAGCTTCCCTTCGACGAGGACGACGACCAAGTTACCAAGACTCGGATCCTCACGGAGGATCCTGTCTACAATGACAGATTTCCGGATGATGCAAAAACTCTTATAAACTTGCTCTTATCAAAGCGCCCTCTGATCCGGCCGAGCCTAGACGAAATTTTGGCGCACTCGTTCCTTGCCGAACATGCCCCGGACCAATTGGCAATATTGAAAATCCCACGACCTGCTCCTTTTACCACGCCACTAGAGAAGACAACCTTGCAGCGGATGAAAAGTGCCGGCGTCAATATTGATGAGGTGGTCGACAGTGTCCTTGCTCAACGATGCGACCCACTCGCCGGTTGGTGGGCATTGCTGATTGAAAAAGAACAACGGAAGGAGCAAAAACGAGAGCGTAAGCGAAGGGAGCGAGAAGCTGAAGCGAAGAATATTCGTCGCCTGAGCGCAGCCAGCAGCCGGCTAGAGAAAATTTCAGCCGCCCTTGTGGAAGTTGATGAGGAGGGGCATGCCTCCCTGAATGCACCTCTCCAGGAGCGCGGTCGCAGGGATCGACGGAGTTTACCTTCGCAGCTTGCTGTACCTGAGTTGCCTAGTCTACCGGAGCCAGTTCCCATCCAATCCCCAGCTTCTAGCAATCCGCCTCCTCCCGTTGACAAAGACTCTGTTAGGTCTGCTAGTTCTACCCGACACCGCCCGTTACCACCTCCCAAGGATAGAAGACGTTCAAGCAGGCCAAGTACATTGCATGTAAGCGCCTCTCAACCCGAATTAGCCCAACATAATGGGATCTTCAGACGTCGCACTGGGCGCCGTCAGTATCCAATCCTCAGTCAACTGGCGTCCCTTAAACATTGGTTTGTCGAGTCTACGAAGAGAGCCAAGTCCCCCCACACCAAGGCTGCTGGTGCACAAGGGACCCATCGCAAGTTTCTTTCGGACAAGCTAAGTCCGTCCAAAGGGCAGGATACCGGGAAGAAATCTGCGCAGTCTTCTTCGACTGGCCCCACAACGGGAGAGTTGTCGACACCGACACAGATAAAGCGCGCTTCCAATGCCAGCAGCCTGGCCCGCAGTAGTACTTCCTATCCCAATCACCGCCACTCTTATCCTCGCCAGACTCGACCTTTGAGCACCAATGCAAGTCACCGGAACTCCTTGTCTCCCTCTCCAATCACGCCTCGGGGTTCCTACAGGCGATCCTCTGCTGGCCTGCGAGGCCGCAAGTCAACCTCGTCTTCGATTTCCTCTATTCGCAGCATCCACCATACTCACACGCATTCAAAGGCGTCGTCTGTTTCGTCAAACAGCATCGGCTCAGCATCAACCCCGACAGCTCGGGCCTCCAGATCCCCTCATTCCTCCGTTAAAGTTCTCCCTACCACTCCCAGCGCCTCGTCCCGTTTTCCCAGCAATATCCGCTTGGTTAGAGGCATGAACAGTGGGTTCCAAGAGGTGGATGATCCCAATGGTAGAATGACTTCTATATTTAACGAATCGGCACCTGCCCCCTTATTATATTCGCCGTCGTCAAGTCTTGTGTTTGCACGCCGCAAACGATCTGCATTCAAGGGGCCTATGGTCCACACTGCGAATCTCATGGTCTCTGGCGGCATGGCTGCCCCGGAGTTTCCCCGTAGTGGTGCCGCCGTCGTGGAGACCTCAAACGCAGCTCGACCTGTGGCGCGAAAGAGCCAAATCATAGAAGAAGACATAGAGGAAGATGAAGATATCGAAGAAGTCGACGCATTTACGGGAACCGAAGAGGAGCCTGGATCACCCACTGAAATGAAGACAGATGAACACATAGGGTTGGAGTATGCTAGTGACTTGTCTGGGCGAAGCTCTAAGCCGGTTCTAGCCCCAGCTCCTGACCTTGATACCAGTCCATTGCGTCCCCCACGTTCATCTTCACTCAAGACATCAAAGCTGAACGCAGCAACTGGCAATTCTCCGAGATCGGTGCGTTCCGGGAAGAGAGCCGTGACATAATATTAAAGGGTTGGAGGCATCAACTATCACTCCTTTCATTCTACTGGTTGGCATTTTCGGTTTCTTTCTTGTTATACAATTTATTTTATACCCCTGCGGCTATGCGGCGCTAGTTTCTTTGGACAGTATTCTTGGGCATCTCTGGTCTGGGTAAAAGGTGATGGATTGAATGCTTTACACCCCGTCTCTGTGGCTTCCCCCGACTTTCTTTATCTTTTCTTTTTTCCTCTGTTCCTCCCTTTCACTTCCTTCCCATTCTGGGCTTCCTTCCTCTAATTCAGATTTGCACTGCCATATTAAGCACGTCCCTCCCTTCATATCGCGATCTCCTTTCTGTGTATCTTATTTTGCATTATATTCGTTCGTCAGCCCTGGTTAATCTCTGCTGAGTCTAATCTGATGGTCCTAGTCGGACTGGCGTGTTTTGAGATATCCCCTTTTACATACGCAATCATTCTTCTCTTCTCGTTTCTTTTTCTCTGCCATGTTTTTTTTTTCACCATATCGTGCCCCAAGGCTGGATCTCGGTTGGCACTGGGAATGATATCCATCCAGTGATCAATGCATTATCGTTCGAATAGACCTGTCATTCATCGCTAACTTCTTGCTTTACTTTGTGTCCGTCTTGTTTGCATATAAATAGAGTAGACGTCAGACAGTTATATTGTTTTAAAAATCGAAGGCCTATCATCTCGATGAGTTTAAGTTTCTATCACATACATGTAGAAGGTAGATTTATCGAACCGTAGTAGTTCGAAAGGCTCAACAATTAGCTCTAACCTCTTAAGCATACGCTTCTAGTATAGGTTGCTTGACTCTCTTCACAATATAATTGACATTATAACACATTATTATGTTAAAGACCAAGGAATAGGAATAACTTTCAAGATCACCTTACAACAACCTCCTTCGATTGGCCCATGACACCAACCTCGACATCCTTCTCCTTAGCACCATCATCCCCTGCCTCAAGTCCGACCTCACTCTCTCCAATCATATCGACCGTATTCCGATACGCAGGAACAAAATTCACCGCCACGGCATACGTCCACGCAACGACCATGAACATAGTCGGCACAATCATAGCAAATCCAGTATTATTCCGCATATCAGCGACATGCCCCAGGATTGGGGGTACGACAGCACCACCGCTAACACCGGCAACGATGAACCCAGAACCGCGCTTGTAGTGACGACCAAGGCCACGAATACCCAGGGCGACGATTGTGGGGAAGCAGACGGATTCAAAGAACAGAGTGAGGAAGAGCATTGCTTTGATTTGAGATTTATTAGTTCGTGCAACATAGCCAAGACAGTTTTTGGCAAGAGTACTGGGGACGTACCTAGGCCGGTCTTGTGTCCTTGAGTTGTTGACGCTGCTATGAATGCTACGGTGCAGGAGAGATAAACTAGGAATACCCAACGAGCCTTGACAAATCTCATTAAGAAAGCACCTGCGAACCGACCGACGGCAAAGGCTCCTTGGGCGCCGGCCAGGTACTTGGATGCGGTGGAATCCTCAGTGCCGGGCCACGTTTCAGTCACATAGTTGATGAAGTATCCGGCGATAGCCACTGAGCGTTTAGAATATGTTAGATAGGTTCAGGTCGTTTGGGTGAGATGCAGTAATTTCGGCTAGGAAGAGAGTAAATGATCTATCTACTCACCTTGGGCACCGGTATATGTGAACTGAGCTAGGGTGGCATGGAACAGTTTGTATTGTTTCCGGAATGGCTTATCCTGCTCGCCAACATGGGTGGAGGCAACCTGGAACGCCATGTCCTCATCTGTGACTTCAGGGATGTTTGAAACGAAAAACACCCCAGCAAGTAGAAACACGAAGATACCGATGGCAAGGTACACCCATTGTACACTTTTGAGGGCGTCGACGCTGTCACCGGTATCGGTGAAGAACACGTACGATGCTAAAGCCGGGGCGACGCAAGTACCGATTCCATTGAAAGCTTGTGCGAGATTGATTCGAATCTCCGCATACTTTGGTGGACCACAGACTACACAATAGGTTTTAGTGAGCGTTCTTTGACTTAAGCGTTCATGCCTCCGAGATGAGAACCTCGACGTACGCACCGGCAAGATATGGATTAGCTGCTGTCTCGAGAGATCCCAAGCCCGAACCGATGACGAGAGTTGCAGCGCAGAACCCTCCGAACGAGCGATTTAGGCCGGCGGGCCACATGCAGAGGGCGCCGATCCCGTAGAGGACCAATCCCAGAATAAACACGGACTTGTATCCAAAATGACGCAGCATATAGTTCGCATATCCTAAGGATGCCAGTGGATAGGCCCTAATCTCATGAATAAAATTCCCTACTCGAAGTTGTGTGTGGCTTACCCAAAGTACGCAGCCTGAAGACCAGCCGAACGAGTCCGAGTGATGCCTAGGGTAATCTGGAAGTGTTTATTGAGCGTATCCAGCAGTCCATAGGCGAACCCCTAACGGACCTTAGCAACCAGATACGGCGGTTGTAAGACAGCAGCACCACAAACTCACCCATAAGAAGAAGAGAATAGTGACGAGACATAAGGGCCATATACTTTGGCGTAAGGTGAGGGTTGCTGCCGAGGTTGTCTTCCTATTGTCGACTTTAAACCCGGATCGGGTCTGCAGGAAATGTAACAACCCCATTGTTGCAAGTTTCAAAGAAAGAAGCGGTACCTTCAGGGTGTAGAATAATCGATCATAATGGCTGAAGGTATGGGGACGGGCGATTGTGTCACACCGACGTCCTTTTATATTTTTCGTTTTTCAAATATATGACGGCAGCCCCGGTGCGTGCATTCTGGGGTCGTAGACACAGCCCTCGCCCAATGGCGCCATCTCGACATATTCTACTTTTGCTTAGGTCGCGGATCGAGTCATTCCTGGAAAGAAAGCCGCGAAGAGGGGGAATTTTGTGGCCCTCATTGGGGTAGAGAATAAGGTAATGGATCCCCAGACTTTCACCCCGCAAAAGACAGCATCCAGTCCGGGGAAAAGATCGCCGCGTCAGTCCACCACTTGGGCCGTGTTATCAAAAGATGTAACTTCGGTTCAAAATCGCCGAAACATTCGCTGATGGCTCTTGGCATGAAACCTTCCAGTCAGGGCTTCAATTTCAATTTCCCCCGCATGGCTTTGCTTTTCAGGAAATGGCCATGGTGATTCGCTCATGGACGGCCTTCACTCATTTACCCCGTCCATTAATTAGCCTAAACTATACCGACATCGTCATTGATGGTAACACTAAGTAGCATGTCGCTCTCTTTTGCACCGAGAAAAAAGAGTGTATGGCTGAGGAATGCGGCGATCCCCCTCACTGTCTCGGGAAAGGTCAGGAGACCCATGTCATGGATGGAATGGAAGGAGTGCCCTCAAGGCAAGGTTAGTCCAGGGTCGTATCGGACTAGTAGTAGTTAGTATGCAGGTAGGCACATGTAGGAAGGTAGTATTCCGTCTACATTCATCGAAGAATTCGAGAATCAAGTCACGGACGGGAAATGTAACGTGACTCTCTGCTGTCACTAAAAAAAGGTTCTGTTTTTGCGGGAGATAATCAAGAGGGTGAATCTGAGAGTTGAGAAAAACAAAAAAAAAAAAAAATTCTTATTCTTTGCAACACGAGAAAAATGGTCTGACAACCCATAGGCCGGAGCTTCGATAATCCTGGCTAATTCATTTCTTCATTGCTCTCTACCGCGGAGAACATCTAACACGTTTCATACATGTCATGAGTGTCCAAGAAAAGAAAGAAAAATTGAAATCAACGACTCAAAGGGTCGATATCTATATCTATCGTGCCACCCACTCCACCTCCCATCCTGCAACATCTATGCCCTCTTAGGCTTGGACGCAGCTCCATTCTGCTGACCTGTACCCTTGGAGGTTGTAGTGTACATCTGACGCTCGACGAATTTAAGTGCCTCATCGATAAATCTTGTAACTTATTAGCTAGTCAGAACCCACAATAAGGTAAACGAGACTTACATAACGGGAGCACTAATGGCCAAGACTGCCTTCCATTCCAACCAGTTTAGCGGCAGAATTGAAAACAACCCCTGCAAAAATGGAATGTACAAGATGGCAAAGTGCAATGTCATCGAGAGAATGATAGCGTAGACCAGCATCATGTTGTTCCAGAGAGCGAAGGTCAACAGGGACTCGCTAGACGACAGGGCATTCATAGCGTTCAGCATCTCGATTACCACCAGGATGGACAATGAAACCGTAGAAGCAGAACGAGACATGTCGTTCGTAAACATCTCACAACCAATTTCGGGGAACTGTGCGGAGCACTTGTGGAAATGAGACTGCAGACGGGGTCAGTACAGGGTAATGCGTACAAGGGAGAGTTTTAAGGGTTATTGTTGAGCTTACCAGTTGCCAGAACGAAATCTGAGGCCCTTCGGGGTTGTAAAGGAACCACCAAACGTAGCCAAAGACGGTGGCAGCACCGACGTATGTACCGATAACCATATATCTGAATAGTAGCCAGCCACCAACAAGGGGCTCATCACGCTTACGAGGGGGGCGTCTCATCACATCATGATCAGGTGGGTTGAATGACAGAGCAGTCGCAGGCAAACCGTCGGTGACCAAGTTAACCCACAACAACTGCACGGGTACCAGCGCTTCAGGCATACCCAAAGCCGCCGTCAAGAAGATCGATACCACTTCTCCAATGTTAGAGGAGATAAGATACCGGATGAACTGCTGAGTGTTGCTGTAGATAGATCTTCCTTCCTCGACAGCAACAGTAATGGTAGCAAAGTTGTCATCTGCCAGCACCATGTCAGCAGCCAGCTTAGCCACATCGGTACCAGTACCCATAGCTACACCAATATCAGATTTTTTCAGGGCAGGCGCATCATTGACTCCATCACCAGTCATCGCGACCACATGGCCCAGAGACTGAAGGAGATCGACCAACTTAGACTTGTGGCTGGGCTCGGTCCGAGAGAAAAGAGAGGCCGTCTTAACAGCCTCGAGCTTCTCACTATCAGAAAGGTCATCGAACTCCCTACCAGTAAAACTCTTACCGGCGAGGTCTTCATCTTCAGCGAAGACACCAATCTGGCGGCAGACGGCCTCAGCAGTGTTTCGGTTATCACCGGTGATAACGATCACCCGAATACCAGCGGCAAGACACTTTTTAATGGAATCAGCAACCTCGAGGCGCGGGGGGTCAAGCATGGCGGCAAGGCCAATGAGGGTCATGTTCCGTTCCAATTGAGCGTAATCATCGGAAGTCTGGGCGTTGCGCAGGAGGGGGTTGGCTCCCACATCATCAACACGGGCCAAAGCCATCACACGAAGGCCACGGTTACCATATTCAACGACCTCAGCAGAGAGCAGATTGGCGTGCTCTTTAGTAATAGGTACACGGGGCCCATCAGATCCCAGGAGAACATGGGTGCATCGCTCAAGGATGGATTCAGGAGCACCCTTAACCAAAAGACTTTGTTTCTTCTCAGTGCCAACGAGGACAGACATACTCTTTCGATCGCGAGAAAACTCATAAGTTGCCTTCAGCGGCAAGCGACTCTCATAATAGGCACTCGAAGCACGGAGTCTCTGAGATGTAGGGAGCTGGGATATTTTGGCATTGGTAGCGGCATCGTCAGTTCCAATCTTCTCAACCAGGACGCGTAAGGCTCCCTCGGTCGGCTCGCCGATACAGGAGTAGACACCACTCTTGGCATCGTGAGAGATATTCGCACTGTTACAAATAGCCATGACCTCGGCCATCTGTCGAATGGTGGAGGAATAAACCGCGGGATTTTGCAAGGCCTTGCCATTTTGGGAAAGATTGCCCTCCGGTGCAAAGGTTGTGCCTTCGACATCAATCTCTTGAACACTGTTGCCAGTCTTGTCCAGGTAGACGACCTTGTTCACACTCATCTGATTAGTAGTCAGAGTACCAGTCTTGTCTGAGCAGATAACGCTGCAACTTCCTAAGGTTTCCACAGAAGGAAGCGACCGAACCACCGCGTTTTTGTTGGCCATCTTACGAGTACCGAGAGCAAGACAAGTAGTGATTACAACAGCCAAGCCTTCGGGAATGGCAGCCACACCAAGAGAAACCGCAATCTTGAGGTAATAAATAGCTCCCTTGGTCCAACCGCCGTGTGACGGGTCGTTAAAGTGCTCGATGTTGATTACCCACACCAGAATACAGATGACTGTGATCACTTTGGCAAGCATGTCACCGAAATCGTTAAGTTTCTGCTTCAATGGTGTTGGCTCCGAGATCTGAGACGTGATACTATCATGGATATCACCGATGGCAGTTGATCCGCCGGTTAAAACAACCAAGGCTGTAGCGTGCCCATTGACCACTGTGGTACCCGAGAAGAGGATGTTGGTCTGATCTTGCTTGACAGCCTGCTTATCGCGAATGGCGCGAGTATCTTTGCCAACGCTCTCACTCTCGCCCGTCAAGATAGCTTGGTCGACCCGGAAACTGTTGCTATGGACTGCAATCAATCTGCAGTCGGCCGGCACACGATCTCCAACCGCGATATGGATTATGTCTCCAGGAACCAGGTCTTCGGCCTTGATACGCTGAGTTTTCCCATCACGAACTACAGTAGCCTCATTCGCAGAATATTCCTGGAGTGCAGCAATTGCTTTCTCCGCGCTGGTTTCTTGCGTCACGCCAACGACAGAATTGAGGATCAGGATCGTCAGGATCTATGGTCGTAGCAAAGGTTAGCAGCGCTTTTCTAACAAAGCAATGAAGTAAATATGTTCAGGACTCACCACAACCGGGTCAACAAAGGCAGTCCAATCGTCCCCATCTTCAAAAAGAGCCAAGACAAAAGAGAGCGCAGCCGAGCCTAGAAGAATGAGGACCAGTTGATCTTTGAATTGTTCCAGGATGAGCTCCCAAAGGGGGGTGGGAGGGTCTTCCGCAAGCGCTACACGAAGGATGAGATTGAGTCAGTTTGTGCTTTCATTCGAACATTGGATCTTTGTGACTAACCATTTGCTCCATGCTTTTCCCTGGCCTTCAACGCCTGTTCCTGCGATAGACCCGAGTGCTCTGAAACACTAAAGTGTTCCAGCACCTCTTTTGGGGAATAGAGGTAAGAGTGCTCCATGATGAACCACAACCGTCAAGGGTTTGACTAGGGTTGGGAGCAAGGGGAGGAGGAAAAGAGAGGAGAAAGGTTTGGAGAAAAGTTCGCAGATGCTAAAGATCAAGACATGAACGCCAAGTGGCCGGATGATTGGTAACGAAACGAGTACTGGTAAGGTACTATCGGGAAGAATCTAGAAGAAGGGAGGGAAAGATAGCCGTGCTCCGAAGTGTATTGCGGAGAAAGGAAAAGAAAATTGGCAACCTCTTTTTTTTCCGCCTTGATCGATAACAACACCGTTTAGTCGGGATAATAATAACTGTGATAATTAAAACGAAGGTGATATGACCCGGGGGGGAGAAAGAATTAACCTGGAAATTGGCCTCCGGGTTAAGACGTGCGTTTTGAAGCCGAGAGAGTGGATAAGTACCTGGAGTCGATAATAATTTATCGGTGTCCCTGTATTCAAACGTGTTCTTTTTGCGGTCTGCTGCCATGGGTCTTTGGATCCATTGGTCCCGTTTCGCCGCCGCAAAGACGGACTGGTTGACAGTGGACCAAAATAAGCCTACAGGGCTGAACGGTAAAATAACCACATATGGTGGATGACCCAGCATGACCGCTACTTTGTTGCGTCAACCTGTTTCTCATCGCTTTTCAACAGCAAAGTCAACATACTGGAAATTTCGTCGGTACTCGTACGAATCTCATTATCTCACTAAACCCCAAGATTATATTAGAAATATCTCATGGTGGAAGTAGTCTAGACGTGTGGAGGGCGAGGGATGTATGCATGTACGGTACAATACTGTTGTAAAATACGTGTATTGAGTCGGGCCGATCTCCACATTCAGAAATGTTGATGCCTTGCCCCAAGACCCATGCTCGGCCCTGGAGCCATCCATGGATGTCTCCAAGAGGGTGGATGGGGCCCATGCCCTGGGCTAGAGTGCCTAGTACTCCGATATGCATACTAAATGGTCAATCACTGCAGACTCCAGAGTACGGTGTATGGCTATGGGGATGGTAGAGTGATATTACGTTGCTAGGTCCCTTTCTGACCTATCTCAGGGGACTCGTCTGGGGAGAAATCACTTCTGCCACCTTTCAAAGGTTGGTAATCACAACCCTTAGGTACGACAACCGCACGGAATATCATAGATTGGACTTCGTTTTAGCCACCCCCTTTTCTTCTCGTTCTTCAGCATACTTATTCATCTATCACTGTTGGTTACTCTTGCCAACTGGGCTGCTTCTGTGCCTCAGCATGTCGAGCTTCAGATGCCTAGAAGAAGTGTTATATGTATGTATGATTGAAAAGGCATATAGGCACAGCCCAACAATCATCAATTCTTTTCTGTCAAACTTATTGCCCGATGCAGTCAGCACAGGCTTCAGTCTCAACAATTGATCTTTGCGCAGCCCGCATGAGGTTCACTTTGATAGTTGCCAAAGCCTTCATGAACGGGTACATACACATTCATCCCAGAGAGGCGGAGGGTACTATAATGCGGAATGAATTGAAGTAGCTCATGCTAGGACGCCCAAATTGGTCTGGTCTGACATCACATTTCAGGTAGTTAATTCATACATTAGATGGATAATACAAAGCGGATGCGCTATCGCACAGCCCAGTCAATAAGGATGAGGGCCTTTCATGCCTCAGGCAGAACAGTCCCTGTTGGGCCCTGCTTGCCTCAGGCGCCTGGGGGCATCCCCGGCCAAACATCACAAACAATAGTAGGCCGCGCCCGCCTCTCGCTAAAGCTGGCAGGCCGTCACCTCACCGGTTCATCATCTGTTGCTTGAGGATCGCATCTGTCAAACCTCTAGTGAATTCCACATCCCCATTCCATCTGTGTTGTCTTTTTGTCCTCTTCTTTCCCCACACCTCTTTTCTCTTCTCCTATCAACTCCTTTCAACCACCGTACTCTGTCTTGTAATCCTCCTATCTGTACCCTATCTTCCAGCATGACTTCTGAGGTATGTTGTTCCAGCCTGACCCCTCCTCTTCTATTGTTTTCTACCCTCACGCTGCTGCGATAGCGGCTGGACGTGTTGATGCATGCATCTCACTATTGGAAACTCTCTATCGCCTTTGACATGGTCTTTATAATAAAGTAGATCAATACTAACAATATTTCTTCATTCGCAGCGTGAGAAGTAAGGGTCCAGACCGACTCAATCAATAGCAGATAACGGAGATACTAACCCCCTTTCTCCAGCAAGACATTCCTCGCCCGCCTTTGCGAGCAGGCTGAGCGCTACGATGGTAAGATCCCATGAATGGCCGGACCTCGGTACCCTGTATACTAATTCCCTATCTTTACAGAGATGGTCACGTACATGAAGGTGAGTAGCAGCCTACTAAACACTCGTTGTATCAGTTATTTAAGACGCGACCGCTAATTATCTAACAGGAAGTCGCCAACGTATGTAACCATTTCGCTTTGCACCCTGAGATCGCTTCCTCCACACCCCTTTTCTTGCTTTGCTGACCCCGCATCAGATTGGAGGCGAACTTACCGTCGATGAGCGTAACCTTCTCTCCGTTGCCTACAAGAACGTGGTCGGTACCCGCCGTGCTTCCTGGCGTATCATCTCCTCCATTGAACAGAAGGAGGAGTCCAAGGGTTCTGAGCAGCACGTCTCGATCATCCGTGACTACCGCCAGAAGATCGAAACCGAGCTGGAGAAGGTCTGTCAGGATGTTCTTGACGTTCTGGACGAGTCTCTCATCCCCAAGGCCGAGACCGGCGAGTCCAAGGTTTTCTACTACAAGATGTAAGCCCGTTGGCTCTGGGAAGGCTCCATGAATGATGCGGTTAATCACATTCGATGAATAGGAAGGGCGACTACCACCGTTATCTCGCTGAGTTTGCTTCTGGCAACAAGCGCAAGGTTGCCGCTACTGCTGCTCACGAGGCCTACAAGGTATGCCTGATGGTTGTTCTCTCGATGAAGCTCCTACTTACAATTTGGACTAGAATGCCACCGACGTTGCCCAGACTGACCTCACTCCCACTCACCCCATCCGCTTGGGTCTTGCATTGAACTTCTCCGTGTTCTACTACGAAATCCTGAACTCGCCCGATCGTGCCTGCCACCTTGCCAAGCAGGCTTTCGATGATGCCATCGCCGAGCTCGACTCGCTCTCGGAGGAAAGCTACCGTGACAGCACTCTTATCATGCAGCTTCTGCGTGACAACCTTACTCTTTGGACCTCTTCCGATGGCCAGGAGCCTGAGGGTGCTTCCAAGGAAGACAAGCCTGAAGAGGAGTCTGCCCCTGCTACCGAGGACAAGGGTGAGGAATCCAAGCCTGCCGCCCCTGAGTCTTAAAGCGACAAATTGGACGTTTTCTTTTGTATCAAAAACAGCGTTGTGCGCTCGGCGCCTATTTGGAGAGGGTTCGGATTCTCCCTGGAAGTGTTTACGATGGTCTGTTTTAGCTGCGTGACTGGTTTGGACCGGCACGTATCTTCTACTTGTTCGGGATCGTGTGGGTCGGCCGGCGGAGTTTGATATTTGGAGAGCGAAGAAAAGGGGCTGAGCGGAATTTATCTCTCTTTTACTGTTTCTATTCCCAACCCCCAGAGCAAGATACAACGTGTTATTCCACCCCCCCTTTTTTGTTCTCTTTTCTGTGCTTGCTTGCCCGCGTTATCTCTACTGTTTTCTCGTACATCATCCCATAAGCCCCGCGAATATTTGAATTTAAACTTAGTAGTCGTTCTACTCAAAGACGTGCGACTTTATAGAGTCGACGCCCTGAAGGATGAAGCATACCCCGTCTTTTTAGTTCGATGGTATCATTGTTAGAAATACCATACACACTTGTGGTACAGTGATCGTTTTCATCACATAGTCTGAACCTGCTTCTCATAGACTTCCTCTTTGTTCTTGTTCTCTCAGACATGCCTCAAGCTGGTAAAGTCCCGCCCAGTAATTGCTTGCTGGAAAACATGTAAAACACCTAAGCTTCAAGGTATGAGCTCAATGCCTACCAGTCAGCTGTTATGTGCAAGCTAGTTGAATACGCTTTTCTTCAGCGACAACTTGGCAGTATACGCAAACTCCCGCGTGGTAGGAACGATTTCCGAGTTTTCTGTATTTGAAAAGTTTCCTCTATCGATCTTTAACTTGTGTCGCTCAAGGTGACCAAAAAATAAATAAATAAACATACTAGGGCAGGGCTAGTAAAGCACGCCTCTATCGTATTAATATATACTACCAGATGAGGAGGCAAGGGAGAGAGAGAAGAGAAGGAACCCAAAGGAACTGCTTAAGGGCGGATGTATAAGAGTTGGCAGGTATCATGTCATACTGACAGGGAACTGGCAACTATGAGACCACAGAAGAAATAAAAAAAGAAATGAGATAAAACGGAAATAATAAAATGAGATGAAATGATCAATCACATGAAATCGTCGTCACCCAATCCATCATCACCATTATCATAATCAGCATCAAGCTTGTTGTCTCTGGAGGTAACCAGCGACACCTTCGTCTTGGCCGCCTTAGTCTTCTTGCTACCCTTGTCAGCAGCGCGCTCCTCTCTCATCTTCTCGTTGCTCATAGTTGTCATAGCACTAGCGATCTTCTTGACATCGGCACTGTTCAGCTCCTTGACAAGCTGCTTAGCGAACTCCTGCGCCCACAGGGAATAGTGAGGCTTCTTCGAATGGGGAGTCAGGAGGGGGATAAGGGTGGAAGTCAAACGAGCGAACTGGTCCTTAGTAGTAGGCTTGAACAGAGGCATGGCAGAGAGATCGACGGCCTGCGTCGGGTCGGCCGAGTCACTAATAACGATAGCCTTGGGAGCTCCGCGGTTCCGGTTGAGGTCGATATCACCGAACAGATCCTCGGCGTGCTTGAGATCAGCATCCTTCTGGGCGCGGCGCAGACGGGCTCTCTTGTCGGAATCATCCTCATCCTCGCTCTCGGACTCTTCCTCCTCGGCCTTCTTTTTGCGCTCCTCCTGGTGCTCCTGTATACGCTGCGACTTGCTCTTCTTCTTTGCCGCAGCCTCAGCATCAGCCTTAGCTTTGGCTTCGGCCGCCTTGGCTGCCTTTTCCCGCTCTACTTCGGAGTCTTCGGCGGCGTCCCAGGAGTCTAGAACCTGTTGGGGAATTCCAGTTAATTAGCAAATTGAGTTTCCGAGCGATGGTCATATGTGCTATATATGGTGGGGTAAAATAGCAGAAGAGAAAAAGTTTACCCACCTCCTCTTCTTCCTCATCATCGAACCTGCGACGGGGAGCCACAGGAGGAGGGGAAGCACTGTCCTCCTCATCGTCTGCGACAGAAAAGTAGGAATTGTCAGTAAAGTGCCGTTGTAAAGAAAGCAGACTGTATGCGGAAGTCCACAAATTTCAGATATCCTTACCCCACCGTTCGGGCGCCATGGCTAAGTCAAGGATGTATAAAGCGGTAAAAGCTTCAAACTTCTAATGACTAGATAACAGGACGAGCAAGTGCCGTGTATCTCAACGAGAGGGTCGTGGTGGGCGAATCAATAACCCGAAGGCAAGTTTGATGTGGGCGAGTCCCTCACAATAACTTCACGATAAAACAATCTGGTGGTGGGGCTAGAGAAGGTCACGTGTACCGATACCGTTCAGGCCTATTCATGAAGTGTTAGGAATCAACATCACTATAAAAAGATACTCATATCTATGTTGGTAGACTGTGGCTACTAGTGATGGTCTACATCGGGGGCTTCTTCTTCTTCTTCTTTCCTTTTATTTCTTTATTTTAATGTTCATTTGTTTTTTTTTTTTTGAATTGCACTTTTATTGCATTACTGCCACTATATCTGGCCTAATCGAATCGTCATCATAAATCTTAAGAGAATATCATCTGTAGTGCTTTGTGCAGCTCGTAGAGCCTGCAAGTAGCGGGAACCCGGGCATGCAGTGCGGTCCCGAGTCCAACCATCTTTCGATAATGTGCAAGGTTGGTTGGTGGGCGTCATATAATCATACGGTTCATTTACAGGTTGACAGAAGTGCGGAACTTTTCGCCAGCATAGACGGCGTTGTCGCCAAGCTCCTCCTCGATACGGAGGATCTGGTTCAGCTTGGCCAGACGCTCGGAACGGGCAGGAGCACCGGTCTTGATCTGGCCAGAGCGGAGACCAACAGCGATATCGGCAATGGTGACATCCTCAGTCTCACCGGAACGGTGGGAAACCATGACACCCCAGTTGTCGGCGTAAGAGTCCTTGGCAGCCTGGATGGACTCGGTAAGGGTACCGATCTGGTTAACCTTGAGCAGGAGAGCATTGCAAGCCTTGGTCTCGATAGCCTTCTTGATACGCAGGGGGTTGGTGACGGTCAAGTCATCACTGTGGAGTTCATGTTAATATGTTTCGAATATGACACTGGAAGGAAGTGGACTACATACCCAACAATCTGGAAGTCAGAAGTCTTGTAGAAGTAGCTCCAGGCCTCCCAGTCGTCCTCAGCGAAGGGGTCCTCAATGCTGACAATGGGGTACTTGCTGGCAAGAGTCTTGTAGAGGTCGGCCAGCTGCTCGTAGGTGAGCCACTTGGAGGAGTCGCTGTCGGGGTTCTTGAAGTCAAGGTCGTACTTCTTGACATCAGCCTTGTAGAATTCGCTGGAAGCAACGTCCATGGCAATCTTCATCTGGCCAGTGTAACCGGCCTGCTCAATGGCCTCAGTGATGAGGTCAAGAGCCTCCTCAGCAGTCTGGATATCGGGAGCAACACCACCCTCGTCACCAACATTGCCAGCAGACTGGCCGTACTTCTTCTTGGCGAGAGCCTTGAGCTTCTGGTAGACCTCAGCACCCTGGCGGAGAGCCTCGGAGAAAGAGGGGGCAGAGCTATCAGCCAAGTTAGAATAGCTGTCGAAGAATGAGGTACATGATCTAGACCCGAGTACTTACGAAGGAACAATCATGAACTCTTGGAAAGCCAGACGGCCACCAGCGTGAGAGCCACCGTTCAGGACGTTCTGGAAGGGGACAGGAAGCACATAGGGCTTCTTGGTACCGGCGAGGTCGGAGATGTGAGCGTAGAGAGGGACACCCTTCTCAGCGGCACCAGCCTTGGCAATGGCCAAGCTGACACCGAGGATGGCGTTAGCACCGAGGTTAGACTTGTTGGCAGTTCCATCAAGCTTGTTCAGGAACTCGTCGACCTTGGACTGGTCCTTGACATCGAGGTTCTCCTTGATGACGGCGGGGGCAATGGTGTCATTGACATTGGCGACAGCCTTGAGAACACCTGTTCTCCGTCGGTACGATCAGCCTTCGTTGCACCGGACAAGCATTCGGGGAGCATCTAGTACATACCCTTTCCACCCCAGTGGGTCTTGTCACCGTCACGGAGCTCGTGAGCCTCGTGCTGGCCTATGATTCGATTGTCAGCATGATAGAAAGAAGACAAGGAAGTACATGGAAAGCTCCGTAGACTAGTGGGGTCAACTAACCAGTGGAAGCACCAGAGGGAACGATAGCACGGTGCAAACCAGTCTCGGTGACGACGTCCACCTCAACGGTAGGGTTACCGCGGGAGTCGTAAACAGAGCGGGCGTGGATCTTGGAGATAGGCATGTTGACGAGCTGAGGAATTGGTCAGTCGACTTGGTTTGAGGACGGAAGAAAAGAGAAAGGGAGGGAGGGGAGACGACAGATATAAACGAAGGGAATGGAAAATCAAAACAGTGCTGGATCGGTGTTGGGAGGAGACTAGCAGCGGGGGTTGTGTTCACCGACGACCCAAAAAGAATGATCGGATGGCTCAGTGACGGAGTACAAGGGAGAGACAGTGGTGGGGAGATCCAATTTCAGTTGACCGAGAGTCAGGAACAGTTACAACGGTATTCAAACGGAAATGTCAATCAGGATAACACGATTGTGGTATGACGGCGAGACACGATAGAACGATCATCGAGTTTTCTGATCTGTTCTCGTCTCTCTTTGCCATGGAGGGGTCATGGCTACCGTAGCAAAATAGTGGGATGGTGGGGTAAGAGGTCATGATCTCAGTGGAAACAAAACAACCAAACTCACCTATGGGAGATGACCAGAAGAGGACAGAGTTAGTAGACTAGTGTTGGAGAAATGGAAACAAATCAAAAGTAAATAAAGAAGAAGGAGAGAATTAAATAGGTGTCAACAATTAAAGTTGGCAAGGTCTAGTTCTTGTACCATCCTCGTCCCCTTCCCCGGCAAAAGCTCTCGACCTCGTCCTCCCGAATCTTTCCAATGAAATGGTGGGGCTCATCAGTCTTCTGTGACTCTCGCTGGCTGAGCTCTCTGTCAACTGTGTCAACCCTGCCGCGAGATCTTCCGCATTCCCTCGGGGTAAAGCGGGTAAATTAATAGTTACTAAAAGATTCACATTCTTGTTTCTGGGGTACCTTGGTAGGAGATCATTTCATGTCTAACCGGAGGATTGTCGCCTTGATGGGTAAACCAGTCCAGGTGTCCATCGGAGTATGTATGTATGTATGTATGTATGTATGTATGTATGTATGTATGTTTATGTTGGACGAAACGTCATTCTAGAGGAATGATAGGTAACAACTAATATATCATTATTGGTGTCTATTGGGGGTTAATCCCTTGCCCGGTTACCCTAGATTTGATTTTTTGCTGTGCTGTCCCGAAGCTTCACGCCAATTGATTCAGGCGTCTTTGAGAGTATCACTGGGGCCCTGGGGTAGCATTGGAGACTATCTGGAAATTTCCATATTGCGTAATGACGAAAATGTGGTACCCGCTGACACCTTGATGCCTGAACAGTCCCGGATAATAGATACTGCGCAGCATCCCTCAGGCATCAACTTCATGTGACCTAGCTGGGTCCCATATTGGAGTCAGGTGACCTCATGGCTTGGTGGCTCCGTAAGCTCCTCTAGAGCTGGTGATAGCATTGAGATCAGATACCCCAACGAGCCATCCGCGGTCACCATCTCTGCCATCTCTATCTCTCCCGCCTATAATTCCATCCTATCCGCCCTCGAATTTATAGTTTTCTTTCCGAATCATTACCGTCGAACCATCTGTGAGGTCTCACAATGAACGGCGCTGCTGACCCGGAGAGAGAGCAGGCGCTCGAGGACTACAAGAAGAGCCTGCTGGAGCTCCGAGAATGGGAGGCCAAGCTCAAATCTCTTCGGATGGGAATTAAGGACTTGCAAAGGGAGTTCGATATCTCAGAGGAAAACATCAAGGCCCTACAGAGTGTGGGCCAGATCATCGGTGAAGTGTTGAAGCAGCTGGATGAGGAAAGATGTACGTCTATTCGGTGGTTGCTCCCACAATACTTTGTTTCCAACATACAAAACTGCATAAAACTTGTGATGAACAGTGGGCTGCTTCAGTCTACATCTGACAGAGGCTAACTTCAAACCATAGTCATTGTTAAGGCATCATCCGGTCCCCGTTATGTCGTTGGTTGCCGTTCGAAGGTCGATAAGTCGAAACTGAAACAAGGGACTCGTGTCGCCCTTGATATGACAACTCTGACGATCATGCGGATGCTGCCCCGGGAGGTCGACCCATTAGTATACAACATGTCTTTGGAGGACCCAGGACAAGTGAACTTTGCTGGTATTGGTGGTTTGAACGAACAAATCCGAGAGTTACGAGAAGTGATCGAGTTGCCACTCAAAAACCCCGAGCTTTTCCAGCGAGTTGGTATTAAACCACCCAAGGGTGTCCTCCTTTATGGACCTCCTGGCACAGGAAAGACATTGCTGGCACGTGCTGTAGCCAGCTCGATGGAGACCAACTTCTTGAAGGGTGAGCGCATTATGTGTATTGGAAATTCAGGACGCCTTTGCTGACCATTTGAAGTCGTTTCGTCCGCTATCGTCGACAAGTACATCGGTGAATCTGCACGGTTAATAAGAGAAATGTTCGGATATGCCAAGGAGCATGAGCCTTGTATTATCTTCATGGATGAAATCGATGCGATCGGTGGTCGACGATTCTCAGAAGGTACATCCGCTGATCGTGAAATCCAACGGACGCTGATGGAGCTTCTTAACCAATTGGATGGGTTCGATTATCTTGGAAAGACGAAGATCATCATGGCTACGAACAGACCTGATACTCTTGATCCCGCTCTGTTGCGAGCGGGTCGTTTGGACCGCAAGATTGAGATTCCTCTTCCCAATGAAGTTGGTCGCTTGGAGATCTTGAAGATTCATTCCAGTACCGTCCAACTTGAGGGTGATATTGACTTTGAGAGCGTCGTAAAGATGAGTGACGGTCTCAATGGAGCAGATCTGCGCAATGTTGTCACGGAAGCGTATGTTATTTCATCCCTACTCTTTTGTTTGTGGTTGATATTTCTGACATTGAGTATAGTGGTTTGTTTGCCATTAAAGATTACCGGGACGCTATCAACCAAGACGACTTCAACCGGGCGGTGCGCAAGGTAGCGGAAGCTAAGAAGCTGGAAGGCAAGCTGGAGTACCAGAAGCTTTAATTACATAGATACTCCTAGGATGACATTACAAAATCGGTCATATTTAGATAATGTGCAATCGGTTTCACGAGCTCTTCACAATGTTTATTTATTTAAGAGATTACACCCTGTAGGATGGCGCGCGTCACGTTCGTTGTTGGATGTAAGTCTTGGTTTGGTCGTAGATCGCTTACTATTCATGATAGTTGCAATGCAACTACTTACTAAAATGGGTGAAGAGCGCTCTGCAAGTACTACCTTGAGCGAATATCTTTTTATCTTTCGCTATTCTTCCCATGGAGTGTTCCCGGGATTGCGAAAGGATTACGAATATATTTCTAGCCACTGTAGATCGAATTTCCCATCTTGGACGGGGAGAAGGTACTTGTATATCAATACCGTCCCAATAAGGCGAAATTTTAGAAACGCCCTCGAACTACCCACTAGCACCTACCGTAGGTAGATATTTCGTAAAGAATACTAGCTGGGTACTCGCCAGGTGGCCAAAGTATGAGAGCCAAGAAAGACAAACTTCCGCCAAAAGGGTCCATTTGGCTCCGCTCTGCATATGGGCGGATCTTGTGAAGACGTACTCGAGGAGTACTGGGTAGGTCATCCTTTTCCATGATAGTAGTATGTATGAAAGACACCTATGGTTCATAATCAGTCGAGAATGAAGCGCGACAGAGATTCTCCGAATTATTCCTTCTCCGTGTGGTCTATGATCAACCAACCTTACGAACTCACTCAGGACAAGGCATTTTATTGGCAGAATTCCAGCATTCACCAGCGGTCTCCACTTGTTTCATGCGTGCCCTCTTACTCTTATAGTTTTAAATCCCAAAATGATCCCCCATTGCAATCGTTGTCTAAACCGCAACTCCAAACAGCCCCAAATCCCGACCCTCGTGCTGCGCACCTCCTAATTTTATTTCTCTGTTGTCCTTTTTCATGAGTAACGAATTGTAACGCGCTACAAAACGGGTTGCAACAAGCAATCGAGTACAACGCTGCACGCTTGGTTAGTTGTTGACACCTAGCTTCAACCTGTCATTATTACTCTGCTCAACTACCGTGTGAACCATGGTTGTAAGCAATATTTCTAACGCTTACCTCCCTCATTCATGTAGGAATTATTTCCCCCCGTGACCAATTTTGCCTTTAGATAGTTGTACCTCTTCATTCAAGAGTTGACACCAATCGGTGGACAGAGGGAATAAACAATCATTGCTCCACGAAGTTGGAGAACACGCTAGCGCCTATGCCGATTGACTGTTCACTTCCTTCGCCATAGCGAGTGTGCTCCGCAAAGGCCACCTCTATCCTACACGAGTTAGAACAAGTGACACAAAGGCCCACGGCTATGTCCTTCCACTACCCTCCCAGAAACCCGTCGCTGTCTCCCCAGCCTCCCCTCGAGAATAACTCCTGGCGTACGAGTCGCAGTCCGGGACCAAAGCTAGGCGGATACGGACTTTCGCAGTCCTCTGGGGTGTCTAACAATCTATCCACATTCTTTGGTGACGGTCGTACCCTTCCCATGTACAAAGATAAGCCGTACTTTGCGCCTCGGCGCACGGGCCCAAAAGTTAGGCAGAGGAGAGTTCTCTACGGCGGACTTTGTCTATTCTTTCTAGTTTCGCTGTGGTATTTTATGTCTGGTAACTGGGCCAGTTCTGAGATAAAGACGCCAGAGTCGAAGGAAGGAGAAAAGCTCTGGGATTGGGTGCAGAGCTTGGACAAGGAACCAGCCTACAATGGTGAAGAACTCAAGGGTATCGACTGGGCATCCAGGCGAGAGAAAGTCAGGGATGCATTTATCGTTAGCTGGGATGACTACGCGAAGAATGGGTGGGGTATGTTTTAAGATGTCGCTCCCTATGCAGCCAATAACGATATACTAATGTTGGGCAGGGCTGGACCAATATCGTCCAGTTGCTAAGGATGGCAAAAACATGGTCGAAGGTGGGCTGGGCTGGATAATCGTTGACGCGCTTGACACGATGATAATGATGAACCTCACGTCACGGGTCCAGCATGCCCGTGACTGGATTCATCATTCGCTACAATACAATCAGGACCATGATGTCAGCACCTTTGAAACAACCATTCGCATGTTAGGCGGTCTCTTGTCAGCACATTACCTTTCCACCACCTATACAGATCTGGCTCCAGTCTCGGGCGATGAGGACTTGTATATCGAGAAGGCAACCGACCTCGCAGAGCGGCTATCAGGAGCGTTCGAGTCAAACTCTGGGGTACCGTACGCCAGCATCAATCTCAAAACGTCGCAGGGGATACCGGCACACTCGGATAATGGCGCTTCTTCTACAGCCGAAGCGACGACTGTGCAGCTCGAGTTCAAGTATTTAGCCAAATTGACCGGGGAAGCAGAATACTGGCGGATGGCGGAGAACGTGATGAAAGTGGTGGATGGGTCGAAAATGGAAGATGGTCTGGTTCCCATCTATATCTACCCAGACACTGGCAAATTCAGAGGGAACAACATCCGCCTCGGTAGTAGAGGTGATTCCTACTATGGTACAGTATTCTCTGAGAATTGCTCTGTCATTGTCCGATAACTGACACCCCTCCTACACCAGAATATCTCATCAAGCAGTATCTCCAAACATCGGAACAGGAGCCGGTCTACAAGGAGATGTGGGATGAAGCGCTAATTGGTATCCGCAAGCACTTGATTGCGTATACGAAGCGCGCCCAGTTGACGATTTTGGGAGAACGGCCCGAGGGCCTAGAGGGAAAACTCTCGCCCAAAATGGATCACCTTGTTTGCTTCTTACCCGGAACGATTGCGCTCGGCGCAACCGGGGGAATACCACTATCGCAAGCGAAAAAGTCTCCCAATTGGAGTCAGCGGCATGACGAAGAGATTCTCCTCGCCAAAGAGCTCATGAAGACGTGCTGGGCGACCTACCTCGCTACAAAGACAGGTCTTGCGGCTGAAATCACCTACTTTAAAATGGACAATCCCCCAGTCATGATGCAAGATATGTACCCAGAGTCCACTCTATTCACCGGCAACCGAAAATCTCAACAAGAAGACCTTCCTCTGAAGTCCAAGCCGCTCTACCCGTTAGACGATAAAACACTCAAATGGGAAGACGACCTCGACATCCACATGCAAGACCGACACAACCTCCAACGTCCCGAGACCCTCGAGTCTCTCTTCTACATGTACCGAATCACCGGCGATGAAACCTATCGTCACTGGGGGTGGGAGATGTTTAAGTCATTCATCCGACACACCGCTATCGTCGGGCATGACAACCATCACTCCGATCCCATATCAGATAAGCCTGCCGAACCAAGCCGGTCGCGAATCATTAGCTTCACCTCCCTAAACAACGTCAATGTCATCCCGCCCACCCGCAGAGACAACATGGAGAGTTTCTGGATGGCAGAAACCCTCAAGTACTTCTATCTACTCTTCTCAGATCGCGACTTCATTCCACTCGAGGAGAACGTCTTCAACACTGAGGCGCACCCATTCCCCCGGTTCAAGTTAGGGGGAGAGCTGAAGACGGGATGGGAGCGAAAGGGTAATGAAGCTGAATCGGTGCCGCAGTCAGCACCGCAGGAGCAGGAGCAAGCTCCCTGAGAGGGATGCAAATTTCACTGTTTTATATGTAGCTATTTGGGTACTATTTGGGATAGTCTTTGGTTGGAGCACTTTAGCGTTGGATTGGTATGCTTTATATACCTTGAACTGGTATTCTCCTCTATATCTCTGGCTATGGGCCTAATGCTTGTATCTTTGACTAATAGATAAGATTCCTTGGGGATAAAAAATCTTAATAGTGTCCGTCGTTGATAGACTTCGTGAGACAATCATATTTCAATCTAGAGCAACCGGGGCATATCTGCTCTGACTCTAAGGCTACTTCTATATGAGATGCATGGGTATATAACATTGCACGCGGACAGAGGACCAAGCCTATTGACGCTGCAAAGCCGCCTCGATCAACTTCCGATATCCGCGAACAGCCTCCTGCAGATCCCCAACAGTTATAGCTTCATTATCACCATGCGCAACATGGATACTGCCGGGGCCATACAGGTAGCGACGGACGGGGCCGTCCTCACGCTCGTGGATCTGCAGGTTCGGCACATCCGTGCCGTAGTTTACCGTCGTGACGTTGAATCCTTCGACGTCCGTATCCAGGTCCTGAGGGGGGTATCCTTCGGTGCGGGTGCTGAAATCCGCATACACATCGGGGTTACCATCCGTGGCATCGCGCACGGCCCGTCCGACGATATCCCGTGCCTCATCAGGGGTGCCCGCGGCTAGACGCACGGCGACGTCAGCGCGGGCAGTGGCAGGGACGACGTTGGCAGCAACGCCGGCATTGACTCTGCCGATGTTGACGGTTGTGTTGCCGTACTTCGGGCTGGAAGGGAGACCGCCCTTGTCGGCGGGGATGTTGCCCAGCTGGTCGACGCGGGAGAGGGCCGGGAGGACGGCGGAGATGGCACTGTGTCCGAGCCAGGGGTATCCGGAGTGGGCAGCGTGGCCGTTGGCGACTATTTCGAAGCCCAGCATGCCCTTGTGGCCGGAGACGAGGGCGAGCTCGGTGGGTTCACCGAAGATGACAGTGTGGAAGGAGGAGGGAGCTGGGTTGAGTGGAGACTCCGAGAATGCTCTCATGCCATCTCCGCCGGTTTCTTCGCCGACAACAAATAGTAGTCCCAAGGGTGCACTGGGATTTTGTTCAAGGACGTCAAGAGCAGCGAAGACTTGGGCTGCGACGCTGCCTTTGGCGTCGACGGAGCCGCGACCGGAGATGCGGATCGTAGACGGGTCATTGTCCGTTGTCGAGTCGGTGTCCAAGGAGTACGGGATAAACGGTGGGACAGTGTCAATGTGGCTGGTAATGAGAACTTCCGGGGTATTGGAAGATGGGTAGGCAAAGATGTTGAAGCGCTCTTGGTTTTCCGTTTGGGAAGACGAAATTACTACCTGCTTTATGACGGTGAAGTTGCGGGCGCGGAGAAAATCGGCGATGAACTCCCCGACATTGTGCTCGTTGCTAGAGATAGATTCAATCTGCACAATATCTCTGTGGAAAGATAGGAAGGGCGAGGCATTGATCACTTCCTCAGCGGAATTGAACGTCCCTGTTGATGGTGACGATGTTGTTGGCACACCCAAAGGTGATTGTGGAAATGCGGGGTGCGGAGAAGCCGCCGTGAGGGCAGCGCTCAGCAAAAGCGAGTAGATGGACTTCATGGGGGACAACTTTGGGCAGGCGGAATATTGTCTGTCCAGTAAATATGATTACTTGAATGATATTGATTGAAAAGTGGGACAATGACGATGCTATCTCGAGTCCTACGTAAATGGCGCAGGGAATTGGAGTTCCTTTCCGAGGGTCCAATGCATGTCACGTGCGATCGGAGAGTTTATATACGAACTTGGCGGATTGATTCCTGTTTGGGCGATAGCAAGGGACCACTACTGGTACTAAACTCCGTACAGTTAGCCGTCAACACGGCCATTTCATATTGCGCAATCGTGACCGAATACGGTCAACCAACGCCAGTTGACTGGGGAGTCTGCCTCGTCCCTGCTACAAAGTTCTGTACGACCAACATGGTAGATCAAATATGCTTCATCAATTGCCGAACGCAAGAGGATCAGTACTCCGTATACACAGACAATCGTCGCGATGGATAAATCGAGTTGATGTATCCACGGACTCGGCTGGGCAGTGATTACCAAGCTCACTGATCTAGGTTTGTCATGCAAAAGCGTCCCATGCCCGAGTTCGGGGAATCGGCTTTCTAGAAAGCTGACACCAGTTGCCAAGCACGTTGGAACCAAAGACCGCCCCCAGCTGGAACTCGTCCGGGCGAATATTCTTTCTGTCTCTATTAGGGTTTGGAAAAAAAATCCTCGGGTTGGTTTCTCATTCCGGCAGCCCCAGTCAGTCAGCCATGAGGACTGAACCAGATTTTGAAGGTTCCCTTCTGCTGGCTCCGACCATGTGGGCTTGACGTCGGCATTAAGGGCCTCTCAGCGCGATGCGTCACCGAGCAAACCAGACTTCTCGACTGATAGTGCTAGACACGATTACGTGAGAGGGCAGGTGTGGAGGACATTCTCCGTCTTAGGGTCCGGTGATACTCTATTCGACACCTTGGTTATGGTCCACCTCCATCCAATGGAGGGGGTAACAGACGTTGAAAAGTACGTGCATACAGGATACCCTGGGTAATGAAGACTAGATTATTGGAGCTGGCAGAAACATGAACGTACATATATACTCCGTACGTTATGCATCATTATCCTGTCTGAGAGATGGGAGCGCCTTTGTCCAACCACCCTGGCTTCGGGACTTGGCCGATGGAACTGATAGGTCATGGTACTTTCGTCCCAGGCAGAATGACGATGACGGTCGCACGGCGTTAGAAGGAATCCACCAGCCCGCTGGAGCTATGTCAATCCGATGGGGTCCTGTGCTCAACCAGTCGAGGTCCGTCGGAGTCTAGACAACGGCCTTTGTTCGTCTTTTACCCTACACAGTACAATTAGCTCGTCACTGGGTCCCCTCTTCGCTGGAATTTTTTGGGGGGCAATGACGGTGGGAAGCCGTTGGATCTCGCGGGTAGACGGGAATCGGTTCCTGTCTCTAAAGTATAATTTTCCTTCTTTGATCAAATCTAAACTTTTTACTTTTTTGTTCCTCTGATCTGAGATCGTAGTGGCTATATGCCGCATCTTTTATCCGGTCGAAAACCAGAGAACAAGAGAAGGAAAAAGTAAGAAGGGTAAAAAAACAAAAGTAGAGGAGAACCGTGGCAAGGTCGTGAACGGAACCACTGAACGCCCACGGAACTGGACGGAGCCAACTCAACTGGGCGAATTTTTGACGATCCTCCATATCTCTCGAAAAACAACATGCTTGCCTGCGGTTGGGGGTCTGTCAGATTGGTAAAGAAGTTCAAAAACATTAAAAATCAAAAATCAAAAATCAAAAAGATAAGAGAAAAGAAACAATGATCCTTGACTGTGACAGGGACTAAAAAACAGAAGGTGAGGGGACGAATGTGAGAGAAACGAAACCCGAAGAAAAAAAATTAAATTAAATAAAAATTAAATTCAACGAGGCCAAAAAAAAAAAAAGAAAAAAAAGAAAAAAAAGACCCCCAAGTGTTGGATATCAAAAGTTGCTCCCTCTCAGATTTTTCATTGGCTAATCGAAGGAGATTCGCCTCTGAACAGGGTTTGTGATTTGATAGCTATTCTTGTCGTCTGAGGAGAGCATTCAATGAAGAATTCGAGATTCCTTCAACATCATTGTCCCATTTGGATTTTTATACCTTCTCTCATCTCTGCCTCGGGTGACCTCTTGTGTTGCCCTCTCTTTTTCTCCTCTTTTCTCGTGCCATTTCCAACAAACCTTTTCTTCTCTCCGCTCGTCCCAAAGGTTCCAAAAAGGTTGCTGGCTTGACTTGCTGTTTTAGGACAATCGCCTCTCTGGAATTCGATTCTTTGATCCGTAACCCTCGCTCGATTGACTCACGGCCCGTCGATTCCGTGGCTTCCCTTACCTCTACAACCTCGAGATCGTTGTTGCACCCCTCGGCTTCCAACCAACGCGCTCTGATTGATTGCAGCGCGCACTGAGCTGTCAAGTGCCTTTTGGCTTTGGGCCTCACGAACACCCCGCCAGCTGTTCGCGCGGCATCCACTGACGTGCTCCACGTCGTTCATCTTGCCTGCCCTACCGCCTGCGATTGTCCTTCCCCGGCCAGTCAGCCTGCCTGACTGTTGATTCTTTTCTTGCGCTTACCAGTCGTTTGAAGCGCATATTCTACCTGACTCAAGCCCTGGGTCTTTCACTTCAGGCGTCTGTTCTGAATCCTTTCTGGATATCGATTCACCGCCACGCCACGTTTTTATTTTTATTTTATCTTTTTTTTCCACCGACTTGTAAACAATCAAGAGTCATCTTGTTTACGCTTTGATCCACTCAGCTGTGATCTCTCTGTCAACCTTTTTTTTCCCTTTTTTCCCTTCCTGCTGCCTGAAATCTCAATAGGAGAAAAACGTATTGGAAAAAAAAATCAGTGGACAATGCGTCTTCTTCCTAATTGAACTCGAACCCTCTCCCCTCCCTGCGTTTCGCATCGCCTCTCCTCACGTCCACTCACTGCACGTGAAAAGGCAGCCTCACTATTCTGGTTTCCAAACCCTCTTCTACAAGAACACGTCCTTTCTAAAATCGTGCACCATGTTGAAACTTTCCCAACTGATAGACACCAAAGGGCGGGATGGTGCCGAAGTCATGATAGAGTCCTACCGACAACCACCGCAGTCACCGTTGACAACCACCTCGTCGACGCCGGTCTCTCCCGCCGTCTCTCTCTTCTCTGCCAAAGGACATACTCGCTTTTCGAGCTCTGTGTCCTCTTTGGTCTCTTCACCGGGCCATAGTAGCTCGATGGAGATTACGTCCAGGAATCCCTTGACAGGAGTAAAGGAAGAGCCCTGTGGGGCCCCAGCTAGGGATCTCGAGGAGGATTATTTCCGTATGTTGTTGCCCTTGCTCCCAGCCCCCCGTTGTCGAGTCTTTTCTCCGATTGTACTTATACAATTGTATTGACCAACATAGAACACTTCGATCAAGATCTGTCCGAGTTTGAGGGCACGTACTTTGCTTCAGTCGATTACTCGGATGAGTACAATCTCACGGAAGCCGGCATGGACATCCTCCATTCACCCAAAAAGAGACGCTCAGATAGTGTCTCCGCCAAAGGTCTGTCGCGGATCGGTTCACGCATATCGACTATCTCGAACCGTTGGAAGTCTAGACAGGGCTCCGATGGTTTTGATGCGGTGGATGGCTTCTCAATGAGGTCTCGCACCAATTCTGCATCCTCTATCCTTGCTGGGCCTACTATCGTTCCCGTCAGTCGAGTCAATTCCGTTACCGTGCCACCTTCACCCGCCAGGACGATCTTTGAGGAGCGGTTCAGCGAGTCCGGGGCCCTACCCATTGATATCGCAAAAGCAAATCGTCACAGCCAGGACAATGATGACGCGAGCCCTAAAGCGACCACCCCCCTGCTACCTCCGTTCATGGGCGACCAGCCAACGTATCCAGTGACATCTCGAGTTCACTCCCCTTTGCAATCACCATCCGTGGCAGACATGTCGGAGGATGCTTTTGACGGTGCAGCATCCCGGGATTCGCGGCTGGCCAGCCTACCATCGCCTCCGCTGTCTACCAGGCCGTCCATCTCGTCATTCAATCGCCCACGCGCGAGCACGGTTCGACCGGCGTCGGTGGATGCACCTCCCTATCTTTTATCGGACCCGAACGACGAGTGGGCGAACAAGCTTGGCCACGCCAATTTTACGATTCAACCAGAGCCGTACGTGCCCGAGGTGTACGATCTCGAATCTTTTCGTCAATTACGCGCCCAGTGGGATTTGGCGCAATGCAACTTCACCAAGCACCTCGTTCGAACGGGCGAGCATTACGGGATCACATCTACGATTTACAAGTTGACAGAGGAGAAGTGGCATTGTATCAATAATGAATGGAAGCATCACCACGAGATGATGCTCTCCCAACTAGAGGCCACAGAAGGACATCGTCTACACCTCACTGGGTCTCAGTGCGACCCGTGCGAGCAGATCAAGCTTCCACGTCTCCATGATGAGAAATTTCCCGAGCTAGGTGATGGAGAGATTGTCGGGCCCATGAAGATTGCCCCAGCCACGAGCGGGTCCGGGCTCTGTCGGAGTCAGTCGTTGAAACGCAATTTCTTCAGATTCTTCCAGGATCTGATGTCACGATCTTAGAACCCTTGGCCTGTCTAGTCCTAGGGACCCAACTACCTTGATGACTATAGAATTACCGCGAGAGGCATCGATGTACAACATCTAATGACTTTTACGCCTCTCGAATGATTGATTAAGCGTGTGACGAATAATGCCTTTCCTTCCTTTCCGGTTTACTGTGATCTGATAATGACGACTGACGACCTGCGTCTGCGACTACTGACTCGCAGTGCGCAATGCCTTCCTTAGTATGACTGTCTTTTCCTTTGTTTTTCTATTTATGGAGTCTCCGGAGGCCGCCTTACAGGCGCGTGTAATGGTACCAGGGTTTACTGTTATGGTGTCTTTGTTCTCTGCCCTATCAGCAATATTCCTTGCATGAGTATTGGGAAAGCCACCTGGTCAATCGGCATAAAAGCAGGAGGTTGGGAGAGAGC